GGAAATCTCGGTGGTAATTTCCTGAGCTGCCGCTCCAAGCCCATCTTTGTCGCTCTTCGAACAGTCCATGTAGGTCGAGAGGTGACTCTTATTCAACACAATATAGGCAGAACGGTAAAGAAGAGGCAATAAAGTGTCCAACATATGAGGTTTTGGTGAGCCTTGAACCCTCTTGACAAATTCCTTAACGGCTCTATGCACCGTCTTAAAATCGCTCTCCGCAGAGACTGCAAATTTAATTAGCTGGTAACAGCGACGGTCGTGCCAATTGGCAAAGTTATGTAGATCTGCCTCGACCTTGATTGCATCGGGGAGGAACTGGCATAAGTATTGGATCGTCTTTTTGAGATTTTGATTGATTCCATCTGCATTCCCCTCTGGATTCCCTCCGTTGAATGCATCACATTGGCGAACTAAATTTTCTAACACCTTTGAAAACTGGGGTTGCCGTGCTTGCAATGCGTTGAAAGCCCTTCTAGCATTACTATCCAGATCTTTCACGAGTAGCAAGATCCTTTCGGCGCGAATCCTATCTTGGTCATAACCAGAATCAACAACCGACTGAGACTGAGAATTGCCGTTTGATGACTTGGACCCTTTCGCCTTGGGAGGCGGAGGGAAAGAAAGGGGGATGAGACATTCGAATACGACACGTTCCAATAAAACGTTCAGTTCTAAATCGTTTGCGTAAAACGTGTTGAATATGCGGGTAGGGATACCAGACAATGCCGAAGCAACTAATTCTTGTCCGGTTGCTAATTCACCACTGCCCACCGCCCAGAGTTTGCCTAGAAGGGCCATTGCTTCGACACGAATAGACGACCTTTTATCTCGACAACGATCTGCGAGAGTAAACAGCACTGTGCCCTCCTTAGTCACACCTCCAGCAGCAGCTAGCTTGGTGACGATATCACGGAAGCTGAAAGTTTCGATGGCCTTTACGGCAGCTAGTCGAACTTTCTCATCATTGTCAGTCAACTTATCTCGCAGGCCATTGACGAATACTGATTCGTCCTCCCGGCTGAGCCCAATGCTGCCCGCAGATGTCGAGACGATGTAACCTGCAGCTATCGTCCATGCTGCCCGAATTAAAGGAGATTTGTCATTCTTCCTGCCAACGAAATTGTGGAATGCTTGAGAATGCGTCTGTGCGAAGGATAGGGGAGATATCGGGGTAGTGAGAATGCTTGTGGCGGGATGGTCTGGAACCTCATCATTCAGCTTGAGAGGCGGGTATGCTGCCGGGTCGAGCTCCGGGGAGGGGGGTGGTCCAGCAGCGCCAATTCCAGATATCATATCCCCTAAGGTTTCAGTTGCTAACAAACGCAGTTGAATATTATCGGCAGAAAGCTCAGCATCAACTGGGGGTATGACATTGGGCAATACCGTAGGTGCTGCTCGCCAAAGCTCGCGTAGAAGCTGATGAGCCTTTCGTAACTCCTTAAAATCAGACTCTGAAGGACCCGCAGGACCATCATCATTATCTGAATCGTCATCATCCCTATGTCCGTTGGCATTTCCATTGTTTCCAGAGATATCCATAATTACTTCACTAAAGTATTGGCCCACATAGCGTGCCATCTTCTCTGGGCATGAATTACACACCGTTTTAGCCATGACATATGCCTCCGGCTCCTCTTTGGGCAGAAGAGTGGTTTGCTTGCCATTGGCATCAGCCTTCTCCTTGTGGCCTCCCGGGGGCGCTGCTCGTAGAAATTGTGCCATAATAACATCTAGTACAGCGGGCGGAAGCGAAGGACTTTCTTCAACCAAGGTCACCAGAATATCCGTCATGTGAAACTCGACATCCTTGGCGACTTGCTCTCCCGACGCTGCTTTTGACGACCCGGAAACACCATCGAAAAAGGACGAAAAAAGGTGAAGTAAAAGCTCCTCTGCATTTGTAACATCGTTGATCAAGAGAATGCTCTTGACCTCAGCAAGAGACGTCAGGACATACTTGTGCTGTGTATTATAAGCGTTACTTGGATCCCAGAGCGCAGGGAGGATCGTTTTGACAAAGAGGATGAATATTTCCTATAATCGAGAAGGTATAACAGTCAGAACAAGGTCAATCATATTAATACAAATAGCATTTCTAAACGAACCTTGAGCTGCTTGGGCGTGAATGGGGCTTCTGGGGCACATAGTTTCAGTATGTCTACTAGGCAGGCTGCGGCAAAGGCTTTCACTCCGGCTTCCCTATGGGTAAGTAGGTTAGGTGAAGCCAGCTCTTTCGCGACATGATTTAGTGACTCTTTGTCAATAGTCTCTTGATCCAGATCAACTAATTCCTTAGAAAGTTTTTCTAGACGTCGGAGAAGCTCGCCAGTTGCGATTGGCTTTCCTGCGCGCCATGATAAAGGCTCATCGAATTGGAGCGTCACAAGCTCCTCTTCCATTTCCTGGTCCTCCTCCTCTGGGACCTCGTCCCTACGCCGGGCCATGATGGACTAGAAATGAATACCGATGCCGTATAGATGCAAGCAAGGTATAGTATAGAGTAGTAGGTAGGTAGGTAGTCTAAGGTAGGAAACTCGGAGCGTAGGATTTGAATCTGGTCTCGTCTTGTTCGTCTTCTTCGTGAGTGGGGCGCGAAAGAGAACGATGCGGGTAATGGACGAAGGCGCGCAATAATTTGAAATGAAACTAATTAAACCGGGAGTAAAGAGGTGTCCGAAAAAGAAGACGGTGAAGATGTGTGATCAGGTGGAGGGGAGGAACTAGAAACATTGGCAGGTTGGCAGAATGGCAGATTGGCAGATTGGTGGGACAAATGCCGGGAAGGACTTTTGACGATGAGATGTTCTTTTATCGGGGAGGTGTTACGCGACGGGCTCTGCAGGGTCAATCAATCAATTTGCAGCGTCGCGTTGTGGCGTCCTTGCACTTGACCTTGTTACTATGTATGTAACCTACTTCCACTAACTATCCACTATGTATCTTTGTATACGCGCTTCACCCCGGCGTGATTTTAATCGGAATTTCAATCAGAATAGTGGGTATGGGGCAGAATCAGTATGTACATCTGAGGTACGAACTTTAAAACACGCACTAAAGAAGGTACGATGCCAAGCTGCATATTGTTAGTGCATGTCACTTACGATTTGCGAGCAGGTGTGAACGGGAGCTTGGACCAACCGATCCGATCATCAACACATATGTAGGTATTGACGACTTACATAACCTAACTCGCAACTATCTAACCTACATACATACATTAGGTAGTTAGGTACCTTCTAGATGTACTTCGTTCCCGCCTTACGCTTGTACCTTTATTGTACTTGAGGCTCTAGTGATCCTTGAACCTCACATCGTGAAATCAAACAACATCAACACTTATTTTCGCTCATTACTACTTAGGTACATTCCAGTCAACCTGTAAATCAAATGTTTTATTTTAAATCTGCTACTGTGATATCAAATCTTGTACAGTCAACTACAATCCTTTCATGTAAAGATGTACCTGTCTACTATCAAGAATTGTAAATTCAAGACTTGGATATGGTTTATGATCAATGTAGCTATATCTCCAGAATAAAGCTACTAGATAATAATTCACATTGGTAAGATACGTAGATACGTTAGGTACATATTTATGTAACTCTTAGTACTTGATCTAGTACTTTGAGGAATTTGTAGCCCAGTGACAAGTCCTGTAATATTGCTATATTAGCCATTTCTCTCGTCTTTCTAGGGCTAGCAACGGTCAGATGCTACGGTTACTAGGCTAGATATCCATTATCGTCAAGTTACAGCCGGCAACTTAATAACCCAGGTGTAGGGTCTAGCGTTCTTTCCTGTAAGTAGGTTGATTGTACAAATTTGCCCTTCGTCTGAAAATCAACCACTCAGGTGATTTGCCGGAGTGATTAGGGGAATGTCAGATAGAAACGGGTCGATAATAATAATAAAACCGACTAACTACAGCTGATTAAAGCCCGCGGTGTGCCTAGAAACCAAGTACTTACACCTCTTGTACCCAATCTTAGTTCAATCTCAGTTCAATCTCAGTTGTGCCAAACAAGAAGAGCAGGTTCACGGACCACGCCGGCGCCGACAAGAATCAGTCTGCCATCCCGCACAACAATATTTAATCAAGTCGACTTTCCCAATCCTACTTGTGAACTTTGATTCTTCCTTTTACATCCTACACATATTTAACTCGGACGAGTCTGCCTTTCTTTAACCAATCCCATCCTTCACCAGTCCACCATCAACAAATCAACCACTCGTTTATCTTTCCCGAGTTTGTTGACATCTGGATTAAAGGATACACCAGTATTCCCCCTCGATATCGTAAGTACATGTTTCTATTATTAACTTACCTCTCTTGTTCATTCCACCTTCAACTACCACTCCGTACCACTCGCGTTTCTGCCGTACATACACCCTCACCCTTATCGCACTCTACCTCCCCCGCCTTCGCGTCTATATACAACCCCATTCTTAACACGTCGCCCTCTTTTTCTTTTCATCTTCACAAAGTTTCTTTACACCAACCTCTATCAACCAGAACCCTTGTTTATTTCCCAAACCACCCATCCTTACTTTATATCACTTCATATTGACCTTCCTTTCGCCCCCTCTCCTATCACAACTACTCATATCAGAACTAGTCGTCCCTCTTGTGGATTTTGTTCCTCCGATAGGTGCTTTTCAGTATCTCAAACCTCAAACACTGTTCAAAAGATTGGTAAGTCTTCTTTTCTTTCTTCTATCCCCGGTCGCGTGGTCTAGTATCTTGTCTGCCTAATGGCACACCATATACCAATGTATAACATATTGTATAACATATTGTTTGTCCACCCACAGCACACTCCTTACTAACCTTCCCATTACCCATTACCCAATACCCACATACCTCTACCCCTATTTTTTTTTCTCTTCAGCATTATACAATACTGCTATTCTTTTATATTTATACATCATCAGTCTCAATCAAGACTAAGACTATTCACTAACTACATGTTCCCACTATAGGACTTAACAGTGTCGAGATGATTTCCGAGAAGGAACAGAACGTCGCGCCCGGCGTGGCCCTCCAGGAGCAGCCTGGTTCTCTTGGTACCTCTACCAAGACTTGGCGTGAGTATCTCGGCTGGATTTACTCCGTTTCTCCTCCCGAGCCTCGACAGCCCGTCACGCCCCAGCTTCAGCAGGAACCTCTACCTCAGGGCTATCAGACTGTTCGCTTCTCAGGCATGGACTACAAGGTCCAGGACCCCGAGGTTGCCTATCATCGCAACAGTAAGTGCCGAATGTTCTCAAGACTATCACTCTGTCTGCTTATTACTATGATATAACTAACCAATGTTCACTAGGCCGCATGAAACTTTTGGTTCGAGTATGCCGCGGCCTTTTGGTCACAATCATGATCCTCTCCATTGGATTGATCATTAGTATGTGCATATACAAGACATAGTCATCATGCGGCGCTTGTTCATAGCTAACTATTTCTTAGCCGACTTGTATGTCAGTGTTCATCACAAGAGCACCGCTCAGTCTGAGAAGTATCGACGAGAGGTCACTGGCTATGGAGAGTACCCCGGTCTCACTGTGACTCCTTTCATGCCCACCCCTGGTGACATGAACGCCACTGCGACTGATTACCTCACCACTCTGTCCCACTCTCACGTCATTGTCCCTGTTACTGTCGAGGCGCCTACCACTGTTTCCTCTTCAGTTGGTGCAAATGTCACCCAGCTTCTGAACAGCACTACTCTTTCGGCAACTGCAACTGTTAGCATGTCTAGCGGTATCCCCAATGCCACTGTCACCTATACAGGCTCTCAGTCTAAGAACTCTTACCCTGCCAAGACGACCCTGTCCGAGATCACTGGTCGACCTACTAGCTGGTACTTTGGTAATAGCACATCTTCGTCTCAGTATGCAGGCGCTGGCACTGGCACTGGATCATTCACTGTTGCCTCGGTTTCTGATGTCACTGTGACCGTTACTCCCATCCCAGTCTTGACCACCGGAGCCACAGCTGCCATGAACATCTCTGGTTCTTTCTCTAGTTCTTCTTCTTGTTCCCAGTCGGACCTCTCGGTTGGTGTTTATAACACTACTAGCACCCTTCCTACAGTCTACCAAACAGTCACCGAGACCTGGACTTCTGACAACTGCACCCTGGATGCCTCGAAGACTGCTTCTGTCCCCAAGACCATTTCTTCTACTGTGACTACGACTGCTGGGTATGTAACACTACTTTCTCCATTAAGATCAAAGCTAACATCCTACAGTACCGCTGCCATGTCTGCAAGCACCTCAGGAGCACTCGAGTCGAGCACCCAGGCTGTGGCTACGCCAGTCTCCCAGTCAGCCTCAAGCTCTTCTGAGATGTACACTAGCACCGAGACCGAAACCGTGACTCCTATCAGTACTATTGAGAAGACTACCACTATTGAAGAGACTCCCCTTGGTACTATTACTATTCATCTGTCCCAAGAGTCTACTGTCACTCAAACTGGTTCTCTGACCGGCATTCCTACCTCGTCGGCTGGAACTTGCGGTGCAAAGGAAACTGAGACCACCACCGTTGTCATCTTCTCGACTGTGTACGCCAACTCTGCCTCGACCGACACTGCCTCTACTAGCACCGTCTCTAGCAGTTGCACCTCTACCAGCGCCGTGGCTAGTGCCACTGAGAGCAGCACTTCTTATGTCGAGCCCCCTGCTGTCCCTTACACCTACGAGAGCTCTCAAAACTTGACTTTGATGACGTCGACCATGACTTCTACATCAACCTCGACTATTTCTCTGAACACTACCCAGACCGTCTCGATTGGTTGGAATACTACTAGCACATATGGTGTTGAGGCTGTTAGCACTTCTTCTAGTTCTACTCCTTGCACTCACACTGTTCTCGTGACTGCTAGTCCCAACTCGACTGTGTCTGCTACCCAGTCTTCTTCTGTTACCTCAAGCAACACCACTTCTGTGCCTCATGTCACTCCGGTCCCTAAGGTTTCTTCATCCACTACTGATGATTCCGACTTGGTTGTGAGCACTCTGATCAGTACTATGATCACCACTTACAGTCTGCACCCGCACTCCGTGATGGATATCAGCACTCAGTCTTATCCCACTGCATCTGCATCTGCGATCGTCACATTCCACCCCTTTGCAGTCAACGGTACAGGAAACGGCACCTCCAACTCCAACACCTCGGTGCCCGAGAACATCCCTTTCGGCCCCGCCTCCCCAGACGGAGTTGTTCCTTTGAACTTCACCATCTCAGGCAGCACCAGTCCCCCTCGTCCCACCTCTTCCGCTATTGAGACCAGCGGTGCTAACTCAAAGGCCCGCTCCAACCTGCGAAACCGGGACCAGGACAGCAACTATGACACAGTGACCTGCATTGTGATGCTGTCCACCGTGGTGGCCATTGCCCTGTCGATCTAAGGACGAGCGACACGCTAAACACTTTTTGGCTGATACAATCCTATGTTCACAAGATGCCACACGACGCACACTACACTCCAATGGATGTCTAGTGGGCCTTCGCATATGCCACGGGGGCTTTCCTAACCCCATCAACTCGAACGCACAGATACAAAGGACAACTTTGTCACACAGGCATGGAACGGCATATCCAACTCAAGGAGGAACAGTACAACAGGATTCTGGTTTCTTTTTTCTCTTTCCTTGTCTTCGGTTCTTTTCATCACAACTAACACAGTCTGATGATTTGATTTGACGTGCTGCTTTCTTCCCCTTTAGGGGGCTTTCTCTTTTCAGGTGTAAGGAAAAACAGGATGGACCGGAAGGAAATTTGTTGCTAGCAGGTTAGGAAAGGCAAGCCATGCCGCAGATGCCCCCTGCTCATTTGTAACTTTGCATTTTCGTAATACGAAATTCTCTATTAGTAAATCTTCTGCTCTTCGTGAATTTGTATGTAATTCCAGATTGAACAACACTGAATTGATGACCTAACATCCCCATAGAAAGCTCTCGAGTTTCCTAGCTAGCATTCGTATTAACATAATTTTACAGCAACCATCAAGACCGGGAATGAAGTCCTTTCTACCAGACGTGTTGGACTCGGGTAGGCACAGCAGGCTCTTCTTAGGGAGGCAAAGATAGGTTCTTATTGTAGTCTCCTTGGATTTCATTCATCTCCTTGTCACAATACAGAGACAGACAATATTGCTACGACTAGTTTTATTCAAGTATGATTTACGCTTTTATTGTAACATGGCATCCAAGCTCTCTCCCAAAACCCCCTCAATGCCTACGATCCAGCGATGTGTCTCACGCTCCACATCCTCGTCGTCGTCATCTTGCAGCTCGCTAATGTAAGGAAGCATCTCCGGTAACATAGATAGCCACTCCTCGCCTAACCTATTTGTGAGAGCCTGTTCGCATTTGACGGCTGCAAGACGAATCGACATCTGTTCTGAGCGTAAGTGTTTTAGTAGGGCACCATTCAGCTCCTTCTGATGTTCCTGGGAATCGGCGGCGGCAGCAAGTTCGACAATGGCCGGGATAAGGTCTTCCACTAAGTTGATAGAAGAAGCATGGGTGAACTGAGTGACTAGAGTAGGCGCTATTGCATTAAAGTGTGCTGGGGCTTGCCAAAAGTCATCCTGATCATTCTCGAATGATTTGGCGAGGGTGTGCAGCACTCTCTTCCATAAATCACGTTCCTCTGCTTTCTTCAGACTTGCGGTGCGGAGAACATCGACGGCGCTGTCAATGATGTAGGATGTGTAGCTGGTAACAATAGATTTCAGGCTGGCGAAGAACGACAAGAGGAACCCGTAGACACTCAACAGACGGAGACTTCTGCCTGCAGTATCCTTCTTTGGTAGTGAAACAGCCCAATCCATCAGCTGTGAGAAAATGGGCCGGAAGGCTGCATCGTTGAGTTTATATATCATCTTCAGCGCAACATCGTTGGTGGCTTCTTCGATGCGAGGCATTTGTCGCAAGAAATCCTCGCTAACCTCGGTCTTGGACAGTTCTAATCTACGTAGGTCGAAGGCACTGAGGAATATACTTGAAAGGGGACCGGCATTCTTGGAGATATCTACCTTTGAATGCTTGTCAATTGCAACTCCGAGAATGTTAATATATTCTCGTGTAGCCTGTCATTGCTGTTAGTTTTACGACGACGACGATTTGATGTGATATATCAACTTACAGCGGAACCAGAGTCCTTCGTGGTGGTCCAATTTTGTTCCAGGGCGGAAAAAAGTATCTTAGCATCAACCTGTGTAGCAAGTAATCGCAAACATTGAAGCCTAGCATCGTTGGCTTCATCACCTAAGTTAGCACTAGCAGATTTACTGGAAACCGCTAAAAGTTGGCCTAGGTAAGCGCCGGAGAGCATATAGGGGAGATGCTGTGCCAATGCTGCTATGAATGCGTAGCTAGCATTGTGGAGTGCGTCTCCGGGTACTTCGGTTTTGATGCTTTCTGTTATATATGAGAGAGCTTTCGGGATGGCAGATAGTAGGACAGGTACGATGCCATCCTGAAGAACATCAACTAGGGAAGCCAAGCAGAGTAAGGCCATGACACGGAGTTTATCATCATCTTGACCTAAACATTGGTCGCTGGCAATTGTCGAGGCGGCTGCAGTAACGGCTTCTGGGTCCTTCTTTCCGTACTTTTCTGAGATCTTGTCCACACAGCCCACGGCGATGTGCTTATAAGCCATATCATCAGATACTCTAATGATGGCTGTTAGGTGAGGTAGGAATGCGAGCAAAGCCGCCCTGGAGTTAGCATCTCCTTGGTTCTCCTCGTCGATTCGAACCTCGACAGCTCGGAGGACTTTTCGGCGCAAGACAGTATCGGGCCGATCCAGAAGTGTTTCGACGGCTTTGATAAATTCTCCAATGGAAAGGAGATTGAGAAGCTTCGAAAGTGCCTCGCCGCAGCGGTTATACAGGTTCTTCTGCTGCTTTAACGAGTCCGCCAAAACCAAGAGGTCTTCTAGTAGAGTTGAATAGAGCTCGCGGACTTTAGAAGCCTCCATATCATCCCGTTCAGTGAGCTTGGCGATTTGCGTGGTAAGCTTCCTGCTAGATAAAAGATGTGGTACAAGACCCAGCTGGCGAAACCCGATTTTGAGGGGATCTCGGTCGCCTTGTTCGCTCGTACCAAGAAGGACGGCAGAGAGATTAGGTCTCGGCTGGAATATGTCCCCAATAAGGTTGAGTAGTTTTATCAAAGACTGGAGCTGGACTTCGACTGGGAAGTAGTTGAAGACTTCGGTAGCAAATGATAACACCTGATCGGTAGTGCCATACATGTTCGTAAGCATGGCCAAGAGCGCAAATAGGAATTCTTCAGCACCGAGCGTCTCTACAAGGGATACGAATAATCCAAGTCTTCGATGAGATGGTATATGCTCATATGCGGTCGCAAAACTGAGTAAAAGCTCAGAGGCTCCTGCCAGCGGACTGATCTTTCCTTTACGGAGTGATTGGATCAGTGGTGGCACGACCTCCTTGACTGTCTGGTTGATCACATGAGCAGAGTAATCATCGCTCTGGCGGAGTACCGAGCCTCCCATATGTGTGAAGATCGGCATCACACTATTAAGTACCAAGCCTGGAGCGACGTTTGCTAAGCGTGCGACAAGTAGGAGTGCAGTATTTTGCACTGATGGGCTCGATGATTTCTGAATGCAATTCACAAGTAAATCACCGTGTCCACCCGTGCTATCGATCTTCAATGACTTGTCGTGCTTGTACGCAGGGACCATAGCCAATAAACTCCGAAGAATCAGATTCTGAAGATACCCAAGTTCTGAGCCGACAAGCACTCTGAAGTGTTGCAGTTCCGAAAGGGCGTTGAAAAGAGCATTGAGTAGTTCTGGGTGCTTTTCAGGCTCAGACCCCTCGACAAGTTGTAACACAAAGGTCACTTGCCTGAGTACCGCGCTCAACTCTGGGGTTGGTTGCGTGCCAAGTCCCCGATGGGTTTCCGAGGAACTGGTTCTCCTCCGCTTCCCCGACGGGGGCTCGATAGCCATCTTCGCTGCTGGCTGCAAAGACTCTAGGAAGAATAGGAGGATATCGGTCGTGAGTTCAACACTCCTTAGAAGATTGGCAGCTTCACTGGAGACTACACCACTATCACTGGACAGATCGTTCTGTGACAACTCAAGCATACGTTTGGCAACCATATGCCTCGCTTCCATTTTCATAGAGGACCATGAACCCTGAATGCGCGAGAAAATAACGTGGAGGAGGTTTAGCCTAGTCAGCAGTTGCTGAGACCCCACAACATCTAACAAGAACTCTAAGCCATCTTTATCATTTGGAAGTACAATTCCGACACAGCTTTGATCCAAAGCTGACTCTTCGACCCCGTCCCGAGAGCAGGTATGTGTAGCATCTTCGGAAGACAAAGAAGACCACCATTTGAGTAATGGTGAAAGTAATTGGGTACGGGTAGTGCCCGATACGCCCTTAACTTGGTTTAGAGACGCGAGAAGGCGGATCTTGAGAGTCATCAGTGGCGTGTGAATCGTATGGGAGGCGAGGAAAGTCAGCACAGAACGTCGCGTTCCATGAGAAAGGTGGCTCTTCTTATCCTTATTTTCATCGGTCGGAGTTTTCGAGCTACTATTCAATACGCTCTGCAGAGCTTCGATAATGTAATCGGCACTCAATACGCATTCCTCAAGGCTAGGGGTAATGACATTCCGTAGTAGTTTGTGACAGACGTCTACTGTCGTCCAAACCGATGCGTCAGCATTATCATACAGGTGATTGTTAGCCCAGCGTGTGTAGTTCTCAGATTTAACTAGCTCCTGGAATAAGTTTTCTAGCACGATGGCCAGGTCTGCGGCAGCGCGTCGTACCCTTTTTGACGGGTCATTTAATCCCGCCAGGGTATATGGCAAGAGAGCCTGGAAATCTATGCTACTGCAATCGCTGCTCTTTAGGCGTAGTTTTGCCATATCCAGAGCTGCGACACGGGCTAACACGGGATATGGCCCGCACCAGATTCGCATAAGGAACGTGAAGAAAAAGGGAGTTTCGTTTGCTAGTTTATGCTGTATAGGTGCCAGTTCCTCGAAAGCCTTGAGTTTATCTGGCTCTGCAAGACCGGAAAGGAAAACAGAACATAAATCAGTAAAAATATCAAAACCATTAGCTTGTAGACACGAATCCGATGATGAGACCGATAATTTACCCACTCGCTGGAGGGCAGAATTGAAGTCTTCGACGGGCGCGGGTGTTGATATTTCATTATCCACCATTGCAACATCTTGTTGAGGCTCGATCGCAAGTCGTCTCGCTTGAAGATTAGTACCAAGCCTCAATTCTAGTGCATCCACGTCGATTTCAGTCTCATTAATCGCCTTAATGAAGATCTTCCCGGAGTCTGTCTCTAATTGAGAGAGCTTGATGATTATGGATGCGAGAGCCTTTCGTACCTCTCCTTGTGCATCAACGCTGTCCTCGACTTTATGAGCTGCCAATAATAAACTCTTGAAAACGACAGCTCTCTGTTGCTCGTTAAGAGTGGAGCTCAAGAGCAGTGCCTCGACTACTGATAGACCCTTTATGTCACTTTTCTTGTGAGCCCTCTCAACCAAAGCTAGACAGAGTCCATTTGCTAATTTCCCGATGCTATGTTCTCTGCTAATCTCAGCAAGGAGGCTAGACAGATTTGGGATTTTAAGTAGCGCTCTGGTTACTTTTCCTGACATTTGCTTTGCAGAACGGTACTGGGCAAGGATTGAGAGACAGACAAGACCAGGACGGAGAGACTCGGTAGTCCATCCAGCAACGAGCTGGTCCATCAAGGCACTGATAGCAGCATCGTCGAGGTCACCCTTCGCCACGAAAACAGAGATAACCATATAGCAAGCTATTTGCAGACTAGGGACCTTGTGCATTACTAACGCTTCGCTAAGAGTTGGACCAATCTGGTGTAGGAGAGTCTGATCGTTGCTTCGTTGGATACTGCGGCGACCGGATCGCATCCTGTCTAGCATGCCATTCACTGCTTCGGTCATAATACCACCCCAGAATGATATCAGAGCAGGATAGTGTTGTTGAGCCCTGCATGCATCTAGGGTGTATGTCGAAAGCGCAGCAAGGAAGTCGGGATGGTGTATAGCTTGATGAACGAGAACAGATCTCGGCGGCTGGGTTAAGGACCGAACGTAGGGATCTAGAAACTTGTATACTTGCGGTATCGTATTAGGGAGGATAGATAGAAGAGTCACGAAGGCCGGGATGGTATGGTACGGTAGAAATGTCGAAATGAGCATGGCCGTGTTATATTCGTGAATCCTATCGCAATGTTAAAACTCGGATCCAGTAGTACATACTTTGCGCGCCTACCTGAACCTCCTAATAAGCCATTCGATGGCCTTGATAGTTGGCATGAGCCTTATCCGCGCACCAGCTAGGTGAAGAAAGGAGTCTATCTTCTTGTCAAGTTCTGCATTCTCGGCGATAGTCATCTGAGTCCGGTCCTCATTTTGGCTTTGCTCGCTGAATATAGTAGCGCCAAAGGACACAAATCGTGAGTCTAGTTGACATAGCTCTTCATATCCTTGGTAACAGATACTATATAAGGTCTGAAAATTTTGTGAGGCGGCAACTCGCGGCTCGAATATCAACGACTTCGAATGTGCAGCTTTTTGCGCCTTGATATCAAGTGTCGACTTCGAATTCGCAGCGATCTGCGCGAGTTGCGCAGCCAATGCTGTCGTCATCTTAGTGTTCGTATTGGAAGCGCACTTGTTTCCATTAGAAAATCCTGGCCTCGAGATTTGGGAGTTGCCGTGACTAATAGGCGCGCATTCAATTATCTTCCGGGTGACTTTTCGTGATTCGTGATTTGCAATTGAACTTTTTCTCCCAAAATTTTAGCGGGGAGTAAAGTTTCCTAAGCAGAGGCGTTTGCCGATAAGAGGTTTGGCGAATCAAATAATATGGATAATAGGAGTTCCACTTTTACCAACTTCTAATGTCTTACAATTTCCGAATTAAGCGCTAACAACTTACAAGATTATGTACCTATGTACCTATCCTATAGAAAAAGAAAAAAACTCCCTGCTGAAGAGATGTAGGTGGCTTTCGCTTCTTTCTAATGACGATCTTGGTAACGTCATTATGTATGAGGGTTTAGGCTATAATTTTTCAGTGCTGTAATCTTGCGTCGAGATAATGTATGTTGTCATCACTTCCTGTCAAGTATAGAAGCGGCAGTCTTTTTACTAGCTGCTATCTATATTGTCGTTCTTAACATTGCTTTTTATGATACGACCTTCTTTCGGAAGCTTTATCTAACTTATTCTAATACGACGAGATGATGTAGTTTAATTAGATCCGTAAATATCTAACCATGTAGGTAGACGGATCGGTATTATTAAGTATCAATGTGTTGGCGAAAATCTAATCTAAACTCGATACTATAACCTTCACGTGTTAACAAAAGGAACGAGCTTCACGAGAAGCTCCTGATGAATATATTGAAAATGGAACCATAGTGAAACATTAATAGTATTAGGCATTAACGAAACCTGAATACAAAGCATGTTGATATCAGAATAAATGTAAACTCTTCAAGGTTAAACAGTTACGGGGCTAGAGGCATATATTATACGGCGGAAATCGAGAAGTGATCATTATTCCTAACTCCTGATTGGCGGGTGCGTTCCAGTTTCAACGCCTTCGGTGGAAATACTCCCGCAGTGATCGGGCCGTACCTACCTACCTAGGTATCTAGGTTACTTACCTACCTATGCATGCGTTGCGACCGACGCTCCCCTCATCCCTCTGTCCACTATTTTAGCTTGAGTTCGTCCGGTACCCAGGCAGTTGGTGGGCGTGGCCAGTTTCAATCTCAACCTCGCTACCAGTGCTGAACAACTTACATTCTTCTAAGTACATAACTCAGTCGAGACCATGGCTGTGAGTGTCACGACATACTCTCCCCTTCTTACTCTCAAGCTCATGCTTCGGAATCTAATGTACGGGTTAGAAACCATATAATCAAGTGGTCCTTTTTGGGGATTCGCTCTTCCAAGGCGCTAGCGAAGTTCAAGATGGCTTCTCGTTCCAAGGTGCTCTACAAAGTCGTATGTCAACACATTCTCAGGCAAGCTTATCGTGCTTATTTTCGAATCGTTCATAGAGTGTATGCGACACCTAGACGTGATCAACAGAGGATTCTCCGGCTACAATACCAAGAATGCCTTGCAATTGCTTCCAGAGATATTTTTGCCGGCGTCACCCTCAAATCCGAGGATCAAGTACCTTGTAAGTGATGATATTTGCTTGCCTGTCCGAGCTCTCGTTCGTTGTGCGCTTAGCGTAATTATGCTTGCAAAGCCTGACGATTGCGTATTATAGCTAGTCTTGCTAGGTGCGAATGATGCGTGCATCGATATTCCGACCAACACCCAGGGCGTTCCAATGGATCAATATAAAGAGAATTTGACTAAGATAATCACTCACGAATACATTCAGGCCCACGGCCCTAAGATTCTGCTTGTTACGCCCCCTCCTATTGACGAAATCCGAATTACCGAGCTTGACCTGGCCCTCGGACATCCGCAGGCAACGCGGCAAGCGGCCGTTAGCGCTGCTTACTCTGAGACGGCTAGAAAGGTGGCGGCAGAAATTCCCGGGGTGGTGCTTATCGACCTCCAGAAAGCTATCCTGGATAAAGCTACCTCCTTAACGGCGGATTTCGACGCGGGCGGCTCTCCCTTGGGATATCCTGGAGGCAAAAGAGGTGCCTTGGAACAACTTTTGCCAGATGGTTTACATATGAGCGGAGAAGCTTACAAAGTCTTATTTGACATTGTCAAGCCACATATCGGCCCATTCCCAGAGAAGCAGGGAGTTTTCCCAGATTGGCGTGTGCTTAACCCCGGAACGTTGTAATTGTTCACACAGGGTAGATATGACATACATAGGTAGGTATGTACCGTAGAAGCCCTTGGGGTTTCTTGAAAATAATAGTCTAGATTGCCCAAATGCGACTTTCCTACATGAAACTCGTACAGGTGATGATTATTTACATGTGTAGTTGTAAAAGATTGAAATCCGTAAAACATCCATGGATGCAAGACATACATTACATGCTTATTGCATTAGGGGAATTGAAGTTGTTATTCGGAGATTTTACTGTAGGGTTCCTGGTTTGGTACCTCTAGGTAGGTACCTAGGTACTGTATGTCAGCATCAGCCCAGTCAGCAGCCGCTTGGCCAGTGCATTAGGAAATAAATAGGTACCTACCTACCTAACCTACCAAATGTGGTCCATTTCGTGGTTTTGTGGTTTTGTGGTTTCGTAGTTTCGTAGTTTCGTGGTACGTACTGGAAAGTTGATGCGCGCTAAGGAAATCCAATGGTGGGTAAGTGCCTACGAACGTGAACGGCCACTGCTACTCTAAACCGCCATCCATTTTTATGAGAATCCGTAACCTACAAGCAGTCATCATCCAAAACTTCAAACCCTCAATTTTAGCAACCGCCCTGTTCTCAGAAGTTCCCGCCTTCTTCGATAATTTTAATTCCTCTTTCTTTTTGCCTTGCACCACATCTTACAAGGTAGCCAACCTGTTTTGATACTCCATCTTGTTATCCGTCCAATATATCCATCTCGTGTGCCATCCTGAAACTTAGGACACCGATTGGACTGTTTCCTTTTTCCTCAGTCGCTTTATCTGACTTCGCCTTCGACTACTTAAAAATCCTACGCCCGTAGATCACCTGCGAAACCCGGTCGCCACCGCCGATTAGACGAACCTGACGTCGTCCATCCTCTACAAAGAGTTCGATTGGCGTGTAACTTAAGTTTGTGATTGTAATATATCGTTGCTACGCCGACCTCGTCTTTGGTGCTACGAGAAGTGTCTCGCCCTCCTCGACCACAAAAGATACTCGAGCCTCTCTAACGATAAGGTCGCTTGATCGATACTGCAAATTAACACCGCCTTACCGCGCCGTCCGTTCCATATCTCCGCCGGAAGCCCTCGTGTTTCGACCTTGAACAACCTCCACCATTAAATATCAACATATACTAAGATTAGAACATAGTAATATTGCTCTACACAGTAACCCGCAAAGTGACCATTCGGTCCTCTGCGATGAGGAGGTGGTGGTGGACTCGGTCTTTCACATACTAAGGATAGAGGTCGCATCAGTTCGAACGGGGAGTCGATTGCGCCGCAGAGCACCTTTTATAGAACTATACATGAAGTCGATGGGCTACAATTTGGCACATCATCACAATTTGATGATACGAGTCGGCCATCCAAGCTCCTTAAAAGTCGACCTTCTGATCCCGTTGTTTCCGATCTCTATCAAACCCCCCCTAGGCAGACCGAGCCTCTCCTTCCATTGAATTTAGTCAAGCCCGTTTATCCTGTTATCAGTCTTTCTTACTCACGTTGTGACGTTAATAATTCGGGTTGGCATGGATCCCCGTTTCCCGGTTTCCCGTGACGAATTCTACAGTGTCCAGATGGACGTCAAACAGATGCAGATGATACAGAATAACCATGCTGAACGAATTTCTCGGTTGGAGAAGCATCAAGCTAACGATGCCGCGATCAAATCCGTTTGGAATTCGCCGTTTCCTAGCGCTCTAAGCGGTACGCCACAGCATGGTTCGTTCCTCTCGTGTTTATCACGGATATATAGCTACTATAGATTCTAACAGCTTTTTAGGACCACTTCAGATGCCTCCAAACGAAATTTTTGACGATTTTGAGGAGCAGGGCCAGAGTCTTCTGGGAAGTTTGCACTTGGATGCTGAAGATGAACCGGCAAGGCGCGGCGCGGCTTCTAGAGCGAATAGTGTTCGCTTCGATGAGAGTGCTCTCCAGGGTTCAAGCTGGGCGCAAAATGGTCGCCATTCAGGTGACTTCGGTCCAATCAGACCCGGCAGCGGCCTTGGCAACCATAACATGATGGAACGCTCTCTGTCTCACAAGTCGGACGGCAGGCATAGCTCTGCCGGTCATTCGGTCCATTCGGTCCACTCTCACCATTCTATTGCCTCCGGACGCGGAAGTAGCTTAGGTATAGACACCACGTTTACACCCGCCGGTCAAGATGACGATTCTCCGATTGGGATTCCAGAGCCGCCGCCGAGCCTGTTTGTATTGGGTTCCGTGCCTTCAATTATCCGATGCTGGCTAGCTCCTAATTTTGCGCACGATACTCTACTCTACGCAGTCGTGTGCACCGGATCGCAGAAGTCGGTTGTCGAGTTTTCTCTGATCAAAGAATTGGACTTGACACGTGATATTCATCGCGATTTGGATGGTGTTCACCGAATTCGTTTACCCGTATACTTGACAGAGGCAACCGTGTCGCAACCGAGTTCTCGAGGAATGAGTCCAGCTCCGCAGATACCGAGTTTGACGTGCACGTTCGAAGTAGCAGGGGTAGATCTACCCGACAATATCGAAGCTAAAAAGACTATCCGCACCTTCATTGGTAGCGAAGCACTGAGAGAGCATTGTGCCGATATTCTGTTCTCGCAGAATCGTATGACTCTGTATAGTAGCGAACGTGAGAAACTGTCTGTACCCTTCGTCCGCCCCGAAGATAATGGAATATTTAAGAATATTCGTACGATGGCTATCTTCCCTGAGAAACCGAAGTTGAACGCTACAGCGCGCCCATTTGTCTTGGGCGAAGCCAAGTCACAAGCAACCACGGCCACGGAGTCTGACAGAGCCCAGACGAGAGAAGTACATGGAGATGATGACGCCCGAGCACTTGCATCGCCATCTTCAGAGCTAGCGAGCCAGCAGGCCGCGACTACCGGGGCAAGTAGCATATCAGAAAGCGGCGGTGAAAGCGAGAGGCACTATAAGGAGATGAGTAGCTCGGAGTCGGGTACGAGGGAGTCCCAAGTTCAGCCGAATGATGCACCAAGTGACCACCAGCGGCGATCCTCAGCGGCAGGGAGCATCTGGAATTCGTGGCGCCACGGACCTGCTCTGAATGGCAACGAACAAAAGGATGCCTCCCCGTTGAGTGGATATCAACCTGCTGGGCGTGGGGTTCGGAGTATGAAGGTTTTGAAGCCAACAAAGTCAGCAACATCCTCATCCTCGGCACGAACGGGGACATCTTACGAACCAGCTTCGACGCCCAAAGGTAACGTCGAACCTAGACGTAAGAGCCATGTCGGGGCAGACAGTATCAGCAATAGCAGTACTAGCATCCGGTGGGAATCGAAGCGAACAGCGTCTAGTAGCGTGGAACCGAAAGCGAACGCAACTACGCGTGAGGTTCGAAGCGCATCGGGAACGCCGCGTACTTCTACAAACCCTATTGGTAGCGCATCAGCTTTTTCGTGGATGAGTTCGTCGGGCAAGCCAAGAACGCCGACTGCAGCAGCCGAGTAAAGAGCAGCACACTTAGATAGAAGCGAGCTCTATGAGATAACGGAGTAATGCTTGATGATGGTTTGCTGAGCTCGAGTGTTAATGCTCTCTGCTATGATTCCAGTAGTTCTACTTCGTCGTAGGTAGACATGATTAGGAAAAGAATAAAAAGAAACGCCAAATAGGTAAATGACATCAATCATGGCTAGCAACTGGTGGCTCATGAGCTTTCACGTACTTGGGTGCATTAGTTCGGCCCAGACCTGCCTATCAGATAGGGTATGGTATATTGCATGTGACGAGAAGTTGACATGTGGAAATGTGGAATAAGTTGAAGACTAACCCCGCTAGTTACATATCTTCCATAATACTAACGTTATAGACGGATGATTATACAATTGGGGTGTAAATTGTCACAAAAGGCCTCGTCGTCACTAGCTTCTTACCAGCTTCTTGCATGCTAGAAAATGCCGAAGCACGAGATCGATTACTCTTTATATCTGGTGACAGACTCGACGTCTGCTATCCTCGGTGATGCGGATATTTGCGAGGTAGTCGAAGCTGCTCTAAAGGGTGGCGTCACATGTGTTCAATACAGGGACAAGACAAGCGACACAGGTGTACTGATATCAACGGGCCGAAAGCTACACCAGATCACCAAGAAGTACAGTATTCCGCTACTCATCAACGATCGCATAGATGTTGCGCTTGCCGTTGGTTGCGAGGGCGTGCATATCGGACAGGATGATCTTGGTAAGATGGTCTTCCCGAAGATGGTTTCCCAAAGATGGTTTCCCCAAACCCATATTCCGATGACGTAACGCGCCGGTAAATTGACTGACTGGACGTCTATATAGATCTACCGACAGCTAGAAAGATCCTAGGAGAAGACGCTATTATTGGCGTTACCGTGAGCAACATTGCCGAAGTAGAATCTGCGGCTAATGGAGGTGCTGATTATCTGGGGATTGGGACTGTGTTCGCTACATCTACGTAAGAAGCCTCGAGATCATTAAGACTTATTTAACTAATAGCATTATAGAAAAGAAAATACAAAGAGTATTATCGGAGTAGAAGGCCTCCAGGAAATTCTACTTAGGATCGCAGCCGAGAACTGGCCCGTAAAGACGGTATGCATTGGCGGCATCAATGCATCCAACGTATCACGCGTAGTATGGCAGAGCTCCGTAAGAGGGAAGTCCCTTGACGGCGTTGCAGTCGTGAGCGCTATTATGGCAGCCCGAGCCCCAGAGGCAGCCTCGAGAGAACTCCTCCAGCTGGTCAAATCACCGCCTGCGTTCGCAAAATTTGGTGTGACGCCAAGCCAGCAGACGAGATCGCCCAAGGAGCTGCTTGCCCTCGTGCCATCTATTATTAAATCCATCAACAACAAAAAACCGCTCTCCCATAATATGACTAATCTAGTTGTCCAGAACTTCGCTGCCAATGTTGCGCTGAGTGTTGGCGCCAGCCCTATCATGGCGAATTACGGCGAGGAGGCTAAGGATTTGGCGAAGCTGGGAGGTGCGCTGGTTATTAATATGGGCACGGTTACGCCGGATGGGCTGGCGAATTATTTGAAGGCTCTGAAGGCATACAATGATGCTGGGCAGCCCGTTGTGTATGATCCCGTGGGGTAAGTCTCAACATGCTGTGCTTTTGAGTCTTTACATACAACAAGTTAACGAATGTGTATAGCGCCGGTGCAACCGCTATAAGACGATCGGCCGTCAAGACTATTCTTGGCGGTGGCTACGTTGACGTCCTCAAAGGCAACCAATCGGAGATCCTGTCTTGCGTCCCCGGAGGATCTACCGTTCAACAACGAGGCGTGGACAGTGGCCCCGGCAACCAGAACCTCCAGGAGCTGGGGTCCGCGATTAAGGAACTAGCCCGGCTCCGCAGACATGTCGTTGTAATGACCGGGAAGACGGATCTAGTGACGGCCGGGGACTCAGTGTTCACGATTGAGAACGGCCACGAGTACCTAGGAATGGTGACGGGCACGGGATGCTGCTTAGGCACAGCCATCTCAGCTGCAGTCGCAGCATACCCTGACGACAAGCTTGCCGCTACCATATCCGCGATATTGCACTACGGCATCGCAGCAGAGCTGGCGGCGGAGAGGCCCGATGTCAAGGGTCCAGGCACGTTTGTGCCGGCGTTTATCGATGAGTTGTATAATGTGAGGAAAGCTACGGTTAAGGGAGATATGGAGTGGTTGAAGAGGGCTAGGGTTACGGTGGTATCTTGAGCATATGGGTTTACTTGGATATAAGAACATAGACGGTGGGTTACATAGTGGCTTCTATGTTAATAGTCTATCCTTTTGGAATGATTCATCTTTTGATGGTTGATTTTTATCTTGTATTAAGTATGCAGGTTTAAGAATCTGGGTCTAAGATTGATGATTCGATGTAATGAGCGTACAGCAGGCCCTGATATGAGATGCAGGTATATAATTAGAGGTAACTATAATAATTATAAGTATCTAAGGTTACCTACCTATGTATAAATAACTCGGGTATCGATAAGCTATACATTTCTCTATCCCCGCTCGTTCCCGTTCCCGTTCCCGTTTCCGTTCCTGCCCCGCATTCGGCATTGATACTTATTAAATGTATAATCCCTAAACTCCTTCGCTCCAAACTCGGGATTCTTTATTCTAGTCAGACGCTATATTCCATTACCAGCGCATCCACTTGACCGGCGCGGTATGGTGGAAGCAAACCGGGCTTTGATGAATTTCGCGAGAACATCTAAATTCACGCTTGCTAAAGGATTACGGCGACAGCCGATCGTATTCTCGCCTCTGTACCCTTATACTTGCCAAGCCGGTCAGAAATACACCAGGTTTTCCACTATGGCGGATCAGCCGCAGAGACGTTTTCGTGAGTCTGCGATTAATTGGTTCTCGTGACTAAAGGAAATCCAAAGGGGATAATGAGGCTAACAGTTTACAGAACGGCCGGCGGTCTTGTAAGTGTTTCGCGCCTTGTCTACGAGATATCAAGAAGCTGACTGGGGATACCGCACAGCGTCTGCGACATGCAGGAGAAGTTTCGCTCCGCAATCTGGTCGTTTGACTTGATGTATAGAACCCATTGCTATTAATGTACTGCATATTATATCTATAACCTAAAATCTAGACCGAGCCTTTACATTATACCCGAAGATGCTTGTCGACGAAGACCCCCCTAATTACAGCTCCTAGTTACAGCTTGACCACTACTAACAACACCCACCAGCCTCCAGACAACGCAGAAAGTCCTACGCGCGGCCCAGATCCTCGACATACCCGTCATCGTGACGACGCAGAATGGCGCAAAGCTCGGGCCTACCGTCTCTGAGCTCCAGGAGTTAACGGCGGGTGCTGCAGTCGACGCAGATAAGACGGCCTTTAGTAGTACGTATTACTAAGACCCCCTTCCCCTTCCCCTTCCCCTTCCCCCTTTTCCAAGCCCGGAGGCTTCTCAGCCAGTGGCAAAGGCATCATCGCCCCCAGGGACCATGTCGCAAACCTCTAGACCCCTATAGACTCTTAACACTTACCGCTGCAGTGTTGCGCGCCCCGGAAGTAGCTTCTCGCTTCCCGCGCGCAGACCCAACGGGAGCCAATGGGCCCCTGCCCAGCGAGGTCGCCATCGTAGGCATCGAGACGCATATCTGCGTCACGCAGACCGCTCTCGACTTGCTCGAGCGCGGGCACAGGGTGTACGTGCTTGCGGATGGCGTCAGCAGCTGCAATCAGATGGACGCGCGGGTGGCGTTTGCACGGCTGCGAGCTGCGGGGGCGGTGGTGACGACTAGTGAAAGCTGGCTCTACGAGTGCATGGGGGATGCGGGGATCCCTGAATTCAGGGAGGTGGCGAAGCTGGTGAAGGAGACGGGGCCGGGCATGAAGGAGGTGCTGAAGGGGTTGATGAGTAACCTGTAGGGAAATACGAGATGTGTGCATTGCTTCTGTTTTGGTCTCGGGTGTGAGATACTTGGACTTACCGGCATAAGGTCGTGATAGATATTATTACCCTTCCATGACGCCTTAGAGGGGTTTGATATTCTAGATCCAGTTGCATTCCAAAAGCACGTGAAAGGATCTTGATATGCGTTCGGGTTCGGGCTCTCCTTATGTCCCAAGTAGTAGATCTTACAAGGAATTCATAGAAACTTGTAAGATCTCATAGCTAATAGATATTCCATTCCATTCGTGAGTAACTGTAGAACTAGCTAACTTCACATGAACTTTTATAAAAAAAAGAAGAAGAAAAAACTCCAGGCAAGTAACCCAGACTCAACTCTCACGCCAACCGCCACCCACCCAGACTCCCCTCGCTCCTAGCAGCTGGGGGCGCAGGCGCCGCCGGGATATGGAAAGTAGTAATAGAGCGGGCGGCGACGCTACCAGTAACAGAGCCGCTGGCGACAGTCACATCGATCCGCTGGCAATCGTGCGTCTGGTCCGTAACCCAGCCCGTAGCCTCCGTAGCATCAGCCCCGTTAAGCTTGACGCTCACGCTACTCGCAGAGCCCCCGGTGCTAATAACCACCACAGCAACGCTCCCGTCGACGTTCCTAAACGCAGCGCTCTTAACGCCGGAGCCGCTGCCGCTGCTCGCGACGCGGACGGCGCCGGGCCGCACGAAGCGCGACCAGTTGGCGAAGGCCCACAGGCGCTTGGAGACGTCGTAGCTGTAGGGCGCCTGCTGGTCGACGCGGATCATCTTCTCGTTGGTGGCGGGCGAGGGCCACTGCACGCCCTCCCAGTACACGTACCCCGAGACGTTGTAGTTGACCAGCGCGTCGTAGATGTTGTTGGCCCAGGTCAGGCCCTCGCCCGCGCCGCCGTAGCCGTACCACGACGTCGTCCATTGGCCTTGCAGGTCGCATTGCTCGGAGAGCCAGACGGGGACGCCTGGTGGTGTGTTAGTATGTACGTACGTGTTGTCAGTAACTATATAGGATAGGTGAGGGGGGGGGGGGGGGTGGTTATGCGCCATATCCGAGAAAAGGGTAAGGGGGGAGGGAGGGTGGATCTTGGTAGGTAAAGGGGGCGTATATCGTACTATGAATATGTTAGCTTCTGTTTAATAAATCTTGCTTGGGGAATATAGAATATCACTACGTACCGCGAATTCATTGGACCGCTCGGCCCACCGGTATAGGTATGCGAAGTAATCGTAGCGAGCAGGTCCTCGGCGCCAGCAGACTTGATGGCGTTAACCATATTCACTTGGTTGCCCCAACCCTCTGATTCGCAACACGCGATGCCGACCTGCGAGGTCAGGTTAGCTGCTACGAGCGAGGCGTGTAAGACCTTGATAAAGTCGGCCGCTTGCGCCCCGTTGGAATTCATCGACGCGTAGCTTGTCGTGAACTCGGGCTCGTTGAGGAAGCCGATCCTAGGAATAATTTACTTAGTTTAGTTACCAGTACGGGGACCGGGGACCTTTTTATTTATTTATAGGAAATATTTGTCAACTCACCGAGTGACGGGAACGCCAGCTTCGGCATAGTACTTGACATATTGGACGAGATAGTCGGCATACGCCTGTCTCCAGTCGCCGGTCCGGCAGTTAGTTCCGGAGACGCCGCATAGAGTGCCGCCATTAGCTTCGTTGCCGTTGGACTACCGCGAGTTTTCAGCAGTTAGTTTTGTCTGTTTCGAAGTGTCAGGAGAATACCTTCATGTATCCCGGGGCGCTCCAAGCATCGCCGTAGATCTGGCGCACTCCGTACGTGTTATACGCCTCCTGAGTTAACCACAGCTGGCCCGAGTCCTTGCCGTCCCACTGGTACTGCGGCGTGGCAGTTGGCCCGCCTGGATCCTTCGGCGCGAACGTGTTCATGTGGTCGGAGCTGCTGTCCGGGCTGGAGCCGATGCCATTGCGGATGATGGACAAGCCTGCCCCGGAGGTCGTGTTGAAGAGCAAGTCTAGGAGTTGCCTCTGCTTGGTCTTGTCCGACATGTTCGTGATCAGGTTTGCTCGCTGGAAGGCAAAAGAGCAGCCGAACCCGTCGATGGTCTGGTATGTCTTCGACAGGTCGACGGTGATTGTCGATCCCGACTGACGACGGCTCAGCCACGCCGGTACTGCCGATGCGAACGGCAGGGTACCGGAGGCGACGATTAGATCTGTGAACCTCATAGTCGCTACGTTGAGACAATGATCATAGTTACTCTGAGAAGTCTACATTTTACAAAGTCCACCCTGGGATACCCCCGTTTTTATCATTAGAGCTACTCCATGGGATACTCCCAAGCAAGACAGTGACCGGTATGCTCCATATTTGCCGGTGACCCTATAATAAATTGCTATACCTCGTTCTAGATCGTTGATGTATTCTAACGGTAGCATCCATGTACACTAGGTTACCATCTGACACTCCTAGCACGTGGAGAAGTAGCTGATTATCTTCGAAAACCAGGTGGTCGTCGTGTTAAGCTCCGTGAGATGTGACCTCCGCATCTTGACTGTGGGGTACGCGAGACTACTCAGATTAACGACGCTTAAGCCAAGAACGGGTAAATAGTCGAGGTGAGATCCTCTGCACCGAGTTATGTGTCTATTTAGCCACTGATCGTTCTCCGCGAAGGCAACTGGTTCTAGCCTCTTGAGAACGAGTCGAGTCTAAAGATATCCTAGTATGCTCGGCGTGGAGTGACGGTTGTCCATTGCCAGCTTACCAGATATTACCCAATTTTAAGTCGAGACTTACGTTTCTATTTTCTGTGGCAGCGACAGGAAGCTAGGGGTCGTGTTAAAAACCCGTCCAGATGGAGGGGTTAGTTTGAAGTACATAGGAAGTATATAGGGGGCTAGTAGCATTAATGCTACGTTCGTAGATAGACTAATGAACTAGACCCCTTTCTACTCTCGATTTTACTTACCTCATTCATACTAACCGAGATCGAAGACGACTTCATATAGTTATTCGCCACATTAAAGCAAGTACTAGGTGTCACGTATACAAAGATCAAAGAAGTAGTGTGAAGTTCAATGAGCGTTATCCATTCGACTAGCGAAATGGCGCTGATTGTATTGTTTTGTAAATACTGTTGGGTTCAGCTATATGGTTGGCCTTGGTACTTAAGACGATAGTCTAGTCTTTGTAGTACGGGCTATGTTCGAATCAGATCAAAAATTTAGTATCGCATACTATCAATTCTTCCGCTACGCCCGAAAGAACGTGGATTAGGTCCGATGAGCTCCCCTTTTGCGGATGTGTATCTGTCTACGCCGAGACCAGGATGCAATTAGGCGGTAGCGCTCACGCCCGTAGCCAGGTTCTCGCGTTCGAGCAGAGTTTCCATGAAGCCATTAGCTGGCTTCGATTCCTTGATTTCTTTGGCGATTTGTTGATCGATCCCGAGCTGCTCGTCAGTCCAGAGAGGTTCGGGCGCGGTAACACCAGCTTCACCAACACCAATGAAGCCACCCTCAGCCGCCCATTCCGAGGTTCGCTTAATACCGAGCTTAGTCCAGATTTCATCGACCGCAGCGACTAGCTCATCACGATATTTCTTCGTATGGCCTGGAGTCGGGGTAATTCTCAAACGCTCTTGGCCTACTGGTACAGTCGGGTAGTTGATAGATTGCACATAAATCTGGTAATCGTTCAGTAGCATATCCGATGCTTGTTTCGCAAGCTCGGCATTCCCGACTAAAAGCGGAACGATATGTGAGGGGTTCGGTATGACAGGGATATCCTTGGCACCCAACGCTTCTTTAACAGCACGTGTGTGTAGTTGTTGGAGTCGCCTGTCGTTATTGTGGTCGATCTGGTACTCAATAGCGACCCTGGCACCAGCCATGGTAGCCGGTGGAAGAGATGTCGTGAAAATAAAACCAGGCGCTAAAGATCGAATCATATCCACGAGTTTCGCACTTCCGGCTATGTATCCACCAACACATCCGTATGCCTTACCAAGAGTACCGGTTATGATGTCTATGCGATCCATAACCGTCCCTTCGGGTCTGCCTTGTTTGTGGGCCTCGTAATCCAGGTGTTCGGCAACACCGGCACCCTTCGGGCCATACATGCCAACAGCATGGACTTCGTCGAGGAATGTGATGGCTCCGTATTTATCAGCCAGATCGCATATGCCTTCAATAGGCCCAATTGAGCCACACATGCTGTAGACCGACTCGAAAGCAATAATTTTCGGAACATGGAGCGGCAGAGAAGCTAACTTAGCCTCAAGGTCCTCTAAATCGTTATGTTTGAAGACCATCTTTTTGGTCCCCGAATGGCGAATCCCCTGGATCATCGACGCATGGTTTAGACTGTCCGACAAGATAACACATTCGGGCAGCTTGCTCCCAAGGGTTGCGAGCGTCGCATCGTTTGCAACATAGCAGGAGCTAAATACGAGCGCGGCCTCTTTGGCGTGCAGCTTAGCAAGAGTTCCCTCAAGTTCGACTGCGTGTTTGTTATGGCCCGAGATATTTCTGGTGCCTCCTGCGCCTGCACCATACTCTTCGAGAGTCTCGTGCATCTGCTGCAGGACTCGGGAGTTACGGCCCATGCCTAAGTAATCATTGGAACACCACACCGTCACCCGATCTTCCTTAGTAGCCCCGTGAGCCTGGGGGAACTCCTTGGCCAGGCGATTGATGTTGTTGAAATAGCGGTATGACTTGTCCTTGTGCTTCTTGTCGAGTTCTGCATCGTAAAAGCCATTGTAATCGAATTTACCATCTAAGCTCGACGATTTGCTCAGCGGAGTTGTCGCATTGGCTTTGCGATTGGCATGGACGGAGGGAGAGAACTGGACTAAAACCAAATTGTAAGTATTCGGCCTCGATTTAAATATAGTAGCGCATATATACCTGATTCGCGCGCATTAAACACGGGGGAGTCTAAAGGTCTAGCCTCGTGCGAGCGGCTGGTGTGAATCTTGGCCCTCCCCGGCTTTGTCTGACTGGAGTAATTGCGAATTCCGCCCACGGTGGCGGCACCGGCCATCGAAGTCCTACCAACTCGAGCAGATTGGATAGCAAGCGCCTTTCCCATAACAGGGCAGCGCTGGCCAAGCAACTGCAACTTGGAGATAGTACCGCCGCATTGAGAAGCTTGCGGACGAGTAGAGGTTGACAAAGCACGAAGAGTGGCGGGAGAAGCTTTCTTTAAGAAGGGGCACATGGCCTTAGACTGGCGAAGCACAGCGTCCATAGTGACGATCACAACAGGTCCAAAAAAAGAAAGTAGTTGTAACAAGTAGTTTTAACCAATTGATTTGGTGTGGAACACTTGTGTCGATTGGAAAGTTTGTTAGTTTGGGGAAGGAAGTTTTTGATTTATGTACGTCCTCGTGGAAGGTTTTAGATTCTCTATAACTACCTAAGGTACCTAGGTAGGTAGTTAGGTAGTATGTACCTACCTTATGCAAGTCTCTAACAGGGTATCGCCGGAGACTCGGCGACCCACCAAATTGGCAGTTGATGACTGATGGGCAAAATATGATTGGGAGCCAAACTTATCCAAATATGCAGGGCAGAATAAGCGGCTTAGATCTATGTATGTACATATACAATAAGCCTCTTAGGTGAAATCGGGGATAAAATCCGCGCAGAAAAGGACCAAACTTACGAGACTAGGTACACATTAGTAACATATGTAACATACATACATACGAGAGGCAGGGTTTTATTGATGCCTGCCGTATGCACGAACGGCGGGAAACGGGATGATCCTTTTTTTTTATATGTCAGTGGCGGCTCTTTGCTCTAGATTGGAAGCTAGCTGAATCTTACATACATTTAACTTTAGGTAAGTAAGGTGTTAGGTGCACTACGTGTATTGGGTTGATCGTATAATATACATAGCTGGGGTGGTAAGGCTTACTGTACATTACCTAAGTATTCAAGTACCTATTCTGTCTACTCTTCCCCTCGGTGCCTCGGTGTCCCTCATTCGCCCCGCCTACGTGGCTTTCCCTATTGGCTAAAACCACTATTTCTTACCTAAAGGGGAACTTCCACGTGCTGTACCACACCTAGCTCGGTCTGTCTGGTCTGTGAGGCATCGTATGTTATTAGAGTCCTACATATATGTAGGTTACTATGTAGCCCTACGGCTTGGATGCCGTTAAGGACGGATGCGAGAATCCGATGTGAGAATCCGATGTGTATTAGCGGTGTATCCCGCGTCAATTGGTGGACTAGAGGCCACATTGCTTAACGCCGGTGTTCCATGCCGATAGTCCCCATTAGGAAGTGTTTTTGAGATGATATAGCCTAGGTTACAGAAGTCGACATCGTAAAGGTTTACGCAAATCACAAAGTCCGACTTAAGCACGAGCAGCACACCTTTCGAATCTGTTACTAATTGTAATGCCAAATATATTACATAGCCGACCAGATCGGACATTCACGACTCTCCGATACCGTTCATCAAGTTGATCGTTATTTTAAACGGCTACTGGCATCAGACCACGGCTGCCTAGTTTATTGAAACCGGGGTGTTAGACGGACATGAAAATGTAATGGTTAGAGGGGTAAACGTTGAGACATTGTATTGTGTAAGTTGGTAGGTAATACTTTCTGGCTTATACCATAACTCTCTGTCTATATAAGGGGTATAGAGGCACACAGATAACTCATAATACTCGTACATGCCTGTCCAAACACTTTGGCAGTCATAATGAACTGATTCCTTTGGCGGAGATGTCGTAGCTCGTAATACTGCAAGATTTTTGCGAGGATACTGCTTTACTATTTACTTTTAAGTCAAAGAGTTGACAGATTAAACCCGAATACTTACTTATTTCCTCTCTAGCTACCTACCTTATCCAGTAGTTCATAAATACCTACAGTGGCACCCTTATTATTGAAGAAACTACAACTATAGGAAAGTTCGTCTAGTACTAGTAGTCTATCCAAGCTCTCAAGGCAGGGTTTGGCATATTATCGGCCTGCTCTATTAAATCATAATTATTCACGTTCTAGAGTAAGTTCATGTTTAACACTATCTCCTAGAACTATACTAGCACTACCGAATACTTATGAGTACTCATGAGACCGGTCTGCTGGTTTGCTGTGGTTATTTACCTATATACGATTCTTAACTTTTGTGCGATGCGCAACGGGGTCCTTTTTAGTCCCGAAAAGCCCATACCATTAAGAATGCGAGTTTAGAATAGCAGCAATAGTTTCGTGATAGACATAACCGCAGAACCTGCCAAATCATAAACGAGAGGATTACCTATAGTTAGCTAGTTCTATTTGCTATGAACTAGAGTCACGCTCTCAAATATAAATCAAATATAAGGTCAACTATGATGTACATGTATGAAGCATACATTATGTACCTACCTAGGTAGTATATGTGTAGGTACCTAAGCAGCTTCCGATTACTTGGAGAGTACCTAGGTACCTCAGCTCATGGCTCGCAGCTCGATAAGGTTTTGTGGGGTAGAATCACATGCACTGTATGGATTTTCTCTAGCCGACACCCAAAATGCCCAAAATGCCCACCCAGGTGACTGGGAACTACGAAGATACAAAGCTCAAAAAAAGGCTGCCGCCCCTCAACAAATCCAACTCTGCCCAGTTGGCCAAGTTGCCAGTTCCCAGTTGCCAGTTGCCAAGTTGTCGGTGAGAAAATACTTCGTACATCCACTACTTGGAAATATTCTGCCGCAATTTTCGGTACTACGATGGGACAAGAATGGACTTGTGACTATGAAAGTAACCGTGACCGAAAATACAACCATACCTCGACTTCTGTCACAAGTGTCTAACCTGGTAGGTAGTATAAATCTATCACTTGACTCTTGACCCTTCTTTACCAGCCTGCTACGACTACTTTCGGTCCCTCCTCGCGACGGGTTCGCCGTTGCTCCCGTACAGCATGTCCTTCTCTTCGATCCTAAGCTACTTTCTCGGGGGCTATTTCGCCCTCGTTATCTCGCTATTTATGCTTTCACCCGTCGTTCCCGTAGCAGGCTTTGCCGCCCGCACGTTGTCCGCCTATGTCTCGTTATTAGTATGCGCCACCTACGGAGTACTTGCTTCAATATCCCTTCGAATAGTCGGTCGCGAACAGATTGCGCAGTGGACAACAGCGCGTGCTTTCAAATATATCATGGCTATTACGATAGGAATCACGTTCGAAGTTGACGATCCGAAGCGACATCTCGATACGGTTCGACCAGCCGTATTCATCGGAAATCACCAGAGCGAACTAGATGTCCTTATGCTCGGGTGCATATTCCCAAAATACTGCAGTGTAACTGCCAAGAAAGCATTGAAATATGTGCCGTTCCTGGGGTGGTTCATGGCATTGAGCGGCACAATCTTCATTGATAGGAAAAACTCGAAGGACGCGAGGCAGGCCATGGCTGGTGCTGCTAGGGAAATCCAGACTCGAAAACAGAGCGTATACATATTCCCCGAGGGCACCCGTAGTTACGCAAAGGACCCCGGTCTTTTACCCTTCAAGAAAGGTGCTTTCCACCTTGCTGTCCAGGCCGGCGTACCTATCGTCCCCGTAGTAGCGGCCAACTACTCGCACGTGCTCTACATCAAGAGTTATATATTCAGATCCGGAAAGATTCCCGTGAAAGGTACAATCCCACTTTTGATCACTCGTTGGAATTAATTACTAATTTCTACTAGTTCTCGATCCAATTCCTACAACTGGATTGAAACCCGAGGATGTTGACGAGTTAACTCGTAGCACCCGGGAGCTCATGTTAAAGGAGATAGTAGCGTTGACTCAGAAGGTTCAAAACAGACCCATCGCCGTACCTGCTACGAGCGGCGATGGTGTCGTGCATGCTAGTGGAGCTGACGCTACGCTGTCATAAGAGTAAACAAAATCGTATTAAAGCTCTACGGCACTGCATGCATGTTGTTTACATGCACGGCCCACTAGTATAGCCTACTGCTCTCTGCTTCATTTGCATTGCTATAGCTATTACTAGGTGCCTGTTATAGTTGGTGGCATCACTCGGAGTACGGAGAGTGCATACGCATTGATACCCCTATAGATTATCCATATAGGCGCATAATGGATGCACAACTGGAGACGATGGTCTTTAGAAGACGCTAGGAGGCGTCGATAGTGTTACCTGGTAATACTCATTATAAGGCTTATATTTATAAACTCTACATTTAGACTGAATCGGATCTTGAAGTCCGAGGAAGAGTAGCGACTTAGGGTATAATTATAGTATACGGCAGAGCTATCTTCTACCGAATAAGTATTCAAATATCAACAAGTTCCAAGAAATAGAGACTAGAGAACGACTTACCTTGATACCTCGGCATCTGTTTGCTTTAATATAAACACCTGTCACCCTATCAGTGATTATTTATCGGGATGGATGAGTGCTCGGCTACCTTAGGTAGGTACCTAGGTTAGTATGTTGCCAATGCCGACATGTACGCTCTCCTATGCTTCGTGAGTGGGTAGTTTATAAATACGGAGGCTGTCAACTTATGTGCCTCTACCCCTAGTATTTAGCTTCATCTATACCCGCTACCTACCGATCGACTATGCCGAGATGTAATTTTTGATAGGTCTAATCTCATTAGATCTCATCATCTCATCATTTCATCATAAAAGTCGCGCGGTTCTGGCCAGATGCAAATCCTTTATTTCCTTGGCACAACGTGGCTTAGCTTGCGAATCTATCAGATCATCCCCACCCACAACAACTGACATCGATACATACTCTATACATACATACGTCACGATCCCTACATCATATGTATATGACGTTTAATTAACGTTTGTAAGATACATACATATGTATAGGAAAGCATCAACAGTAAACTCTGCATTATCTGCCGCATTTGCCTTTCTAACAGCGGTCGAGTATGTAATAGCTAGTTCCGGCACTGTCCAGCCAGCAGACTTAAACAGCGCGCGCCAAATATGCAAGCTCTGTGACCTACTTAGCTACCTTTGCCTAAACGGGAAATATTGGAAGACCAACGCGATCTAGAAGCTAGAGGACGCAAGACATCTTTGTAGCAAGGTGATACTTGTTACCATGCCACGAGGGATGACGAAATGACGAATCGACCTTAGCAAGTTAGACTACATCTTGTACGAGTAAGTTTGCTGATATGACTGGTCAATTTCTCCCAAAACCTGCTCTACGACATGTAGTTGCGCTCGAGAATGATGCAAGGAGCTGAAATGGGCTACCTCGGACTAGAAACCATCAATATTGACAAGTAATACACAGGTCCGAAGTCCCCGAATTCACCGGGGCAGCTGAAGATATCCACCATGACGCGCTCGCCTTCGCCGAACTTGGACGTAGCTCTTTGATCTATTGACAGAGTACTAGTGACGTTGCGCCTTGTAGCTCCGAGACGAGCTCCCTCCAAGCGCTTTCCCCTCGTTTAGCTGCGGGCTTGTTCTTGAAGAGTCTATCGTATATAAAACCCCCTCTCTTTCGCCCTTGCTCGTACCTGATTCCTATTCATCCCAAGCATCATATCTATAAAATTCTCCTTAATAATTGATATACTAGCCATAAATATGTCTTACAACGACGACAACAACAACAGCGTAAGCATATCCCGGAATTCTTGCTAATTACGGCAACTAACATGATATTTAGTCGAGCTACGGCGGCAACGACAACTCCGTATGTAGTATACATAGATTCTAAACTTACCACATTGTGTCTAATGTTTTAATTATAGTCCTCTCGTAACGAGGGAGGGTACGGGTCTAGCCGCAATGACGATACCAATGCCACCTACGGTAGTAATGACCGATCGGACAATTCCTACGGGTCCTCAAACCGCCGGGACAATGACAACGATAATAACAACAGCTCCTCAAACTCATACGGGTCGGGAGGCAACGATTCCTTCGGTTCCAGTGACAACACATATGGCTCGAGCAACACTCGCCAGGACGACGACGATAAGATTGGTTCTTCCCGCTCTGGTAACAACAATGACAGCTATGGTTCGAGCAACACTCGTCGAGACAATGACGACAAATCTTATGGCTCAAATGACAACGACAACTCTTTTGGGTCTAGCAAAAATAACACCAGCAGCTACGGCTCAAATGATAACTCATATGGGTCGGGTAACAACACCAGCACTTACGGATCTAAGAACACTGGTTCCGACAGCTATGGTTCGAGCGACCGCGACAACCAGAACTCTTACGGTTCCGGCAACAAAAACTCAGGGAGCTATGGAGATGACGATGACACCTCGGGCCGCAAGGGAAATAGCACCGCTGGCAAGCTGCTGGAGAGTAAGTCTGACCCCTATTTCCATTCTTGGAATTATCTACTCTACTTCTACTGTTGATATTTCATCGTCATGGCTCTATCATATACTAATTCGATCACAGAGGTTGGTTCAGTCCTCGGCAGTGACCGCCAAGGGGAAACGGGTCGCGAGAAGCGTGAGGGAACTGGATATGGGCGTGACAACGATAACTACTAAGTACCTAAGACAGTAGAGTTCCGACATATATGAGATAGAAACATATTTAGCAATCCCTCTCTATCTACTAATTTGACAGATATATATGCCCTGACCCGGGCTCTGTATTAGTTTGCAATAGGACACCATAAGCAATATATGTCAACACGGTCATTTAATGAATAAAACTTGGCGGTTATCATGAATTAAGAATCTAAGTGACTTAGCAGGTTATTGGCATCATGCAAATTTATACTGTTCATCAGACTTAATCTATAGCAAGCTAGCTAACCTGCCTGTGAAACCACCAGTATTAAAGTATCATAGGGGATATAATTCACAGGTTGAATATCAAAACTTTCCTTTTTTCTTCTCCCGCGAGCGAGGTTTTCCACAATTGCACTATGATACACGAGGTCACTAGCAATGGATGACATTGAGAAGCTTCTCAGGCTTTGTTAAAAACCAAACACAATTTCAAACGCAAGTTGCATATAGCTTGTCAAAGACATGCTGGCGACTCCATTAATGGATATCCCGTCCTGCAAAAAGTTAATTCGGATAGTTTGCAAGCCGCACTATTAAACAACCGCACTTTTCCCTATCCTATATTGTAGTAAGCATGTAATTCCGAGGTTTTCCTGAAAACCACGCGGTACTTACATCCACCGTCCTGCAAATATCGGCAAACCAGAGGGGAGGAAATAGTAGTTGAGACACTGAGACGGCAAGTGCATTTACGAAATATCAAACTCTTCAATCTTCACCCCAGACTCCTCGATCTTGACGGGCTGGTGCACCGGGTGGCAAGGTATTTTCTTGACCTCGTCAAGGATCTTGTCGACAATCGACTGGAGCTCGGTGTGCTCAGGAAGGTATTTGTTCCACTCCTTCATCTGATCCTTGAACATGACGAAGTGGTTGATCCAGAACTTCATGATGAGCTGCACGCTTTTCATCTGAGACGTATAGCTGATCCAAAGCTTCTGGAGGTGGCCGTCGGGGCCGTCGGGGCCTGTGCCAACAACGAGCCAGAGCATACGGAGGGCATCGTCGACGGCGTCGTTGACCGCTTTGATGTCGATGCGGAACTTCGTGCGTTGGTCTGGAGTCAATGCTTCCGCGGGGTCCTGTGGCATGAGCATGGCTCGGAAACACTCGTACTTGGCTTCTCGTCGTGCCATTGCTAGGTGCACCTGAAGCACTAATTCGTCGATCACGGCTTGATCAAGCAGAGGATAAGCCGGCGGGCCGGACTCGGAGTTGGGGACCGGCATGGCTGCTGGGGCCGGGACCGGAACAGGGACCGAGACTGGGGCGGGTACCGGGGCTTGAGCCGGGATTGAAACGGGGACTGCAGTTGCAACTGGGCTGGGGACTTGAGCTGCAGCAGGTGTGGGCACTGCAGGAGCACCGGCGGACTGAACAACGTTGAGATTATATAAATAAATCTTTTTCTGCTTCATGCGAAGATGACGTTTTAAGTTTGAATCATTCTTGTAGGAATGGGAACTGTTGATCGCGTTGCAGTTTGGCCAGTGACACCAGAATTCACCATTCCTATAGCCACCCCCGTTATTTAGGTTACAGAGGGACAGCTCTTGGATCATTGCACAATCATCTTCTACGGCGAGAACTAGGCTGGACCCTGGGAAGTAGCATTTAACGCCCAAGTGGCTTGTCTCCAGGTGCTCATGCAGGGATCGTAGAGTGAACGACTGCTGGCAATGAGGGCATGGCTGGCGAAAGGGATTCCCGGGCCCTGGGGCTGCAAGCATCTTGACGCGTTAAACGGCGTGCTAGGCGCCTTGTGCTTAAATATCTTGATAATTCAGTTCTCGTCCACGTCGATATTCAACCTGTTTGAATGATAATAAGTGGCTGGCACGATGTTGGCTCCTAAAGCCCGTGCAGGTGAAGGTGGTGTTCGGAGAAAGAAATCCAATTTTTGCAGCGCGCCGTGAGGAATTTGCCGTAAGCTACCTATTTACAACGTCGTTGCCAGGTGCCTAAAGAGGTCGCCTGGCCCGTTTGATTCAACGCTAGTATTAGACAGCTGTCAAGATCTGGGTCCTTGTTTGTTCCGTCTGTCTATCGTATATAGGAATTGTTACTTATCCTCAAGCTTCAGCTTAAGGCAATTGGATCTTGCCTGGTATGCTTATTGTTTGTTTCTCCATGCTGTTATCTAGGGGTTTGGGGAGTATGAAGGAAATAAGTTTTGAGTCCCTACTTGACGTATGCCCTCGTTACAGCGGTCGTTAATAGCAAATAGAATTGAAAACTGAATTAATTACCTAGGTATCAATAATAAAGATCTTATAGTCTTATCCTACCATCGCCTCCGAACCATCGACGTATGTCCGAGTCGCTCCGTCCTGCTCTATTACTACTCTCGCCAGCTTCGTCATTACCACCCATCCATTTCGGCTTCTTGAACCCATCTCCAATATCCTGGATCCACCTTGGAGTGTCTATGGTATCAAATGTATTTTTGAATCGATGCCCTAGGCTTGTAAAGAAGTTATCGTCCTCAGGCTCCGAGCCGTTGATGTCGGGTCGAGAGGGTCGAGAGGGTCGCCCTGTCCTTCCAATAGGCTCGTCGTGATATGATGGTGATGTAGCAAAAGGTGTTCTAGTACCCTCGGCTCTGGCTGCCGGTACTGTTAAGATAGGAGCGGCACGGCGTTGACCATTGGAAGACCTAGACGCAGCCTCATCTAACCTTCGCGAGATCGATGTCCCGTTTAGCTCCCGCTCTATTAAGTCTCTCCCCTCGCGCCACGAGCCGCTACCATAGCTGGGTTGATCTTCTTCGTCCACAATGTCAACACCAAACCCGAAGAGTCGCCTCACCTTACCGTATAATCCAAACAAGGTAGCGAATACTGGGACGAGAACAAAAATGGGGAATAGATAGTCAAACCATTTCCCAAGCGGAGTAAGGTCGACGTATTGCCCCAGGATACTATAGAAGGTAGTCTCCTCGTATATCGACCGAGATAGGAACGTGACAAAATTGTAGGAAAGCGGGACGCTGAGCTTTGCGACCTGGCCCGCGTACCAAAATGCCGATTCGTGGGCGGTATTGCGACGCACTAGAGCGCGGCCGCGCCATACTTTGACTTCAGTTACAGAATGAAGAGCTGCGGCGCACATGTACATTATCCAAAGTGCTGCGATAACTTGACCTGCGAAGCCAACACGACCACTGTCACCGGTCCAATGATGGACCACAGTTAAACGGATAACTGATAATGACGGTAGAGCTGCTTTTACTAATTCGGACCATATAATACAAGCTGATGCTAGCGCCAGGAAGCCGCCAAAGAGAATACGGAGACAAGGTATAATGTGGAAGTAAAGAAGATACCGTGTATGGGGAGTGAGTACGGTAGTCTTCTCCCAGAACGAGGAACCTGGTGAACTTCTCCCGAAGTCGAGTTTCTTTGAGGCTGCAGAATCCAGTATCGCTTGTGTTTTTGAAGCGTCGCGGAGTAAGCGATCCCACTCGTCGACGTATCGCGACTTAGTATGCCTCGCTCGGGTTAGCTGGCGTGTGAGGTCCGCCAAATACTTCGCTGTGATGACTGTCGGGATTATGCGAGCGTCATTCTCTACTCGAGGGAGAACATTTCTAGGTCTAGACTCGGGAATATTGCATATATCCGACAACTCTTCGATCCAGTCTTGGAAATCCCTAGCACTTCCAGTTTTACGCTTGCTTAGTTCTGACACTTGGACCTCCAGATCTTCCAAGTTAAGGATGGCATCCTCCATCTTTTCATAGAGCTTCGGCGCATAGCTCTGGAGCTGGTGTAGTCGGTGACTGGCACTTGCATTTTGGAACAAATTTCGGGGAATTGCAACAAGTCCATGGCCCATGAGGTAGATGGCCAAAATCAAACCCCAGCAATAAGCCAAGGCTAATATCAAGCCCTTTAGCGATATGAATGAAGGGCCATATGATATAAAGAAATATACAAGTCCCAGTACGGCCGAGCCAAACACGAGTGCGTAATACTGAACGTTCGATCGCAGCGAGTAGAGTATTCGATCTTTCGGTTCGCGGTAACCAGCATCTGAATATTCGGCAAGTATTGGGAGTATGAACCTGGAAGAGTGTTTCATCAGCAAGAGGATTTAGATAGCTACGAATGTGATGCGACTAAATATTACCAAGTCAGGACAAATGTTAGCCAATATGAAATCCTCCACGACACAAGCAGTGCCCTAGGGGGGAGCCAAATGCCTCTTGTTGCTTCATCATCGGTACTGGCGTTCGATGCTAAATCAATAGGGACCAATAACACGATACTCGCAGGTAGCCATAGTGCAAAGAAGACGGGCACTAGTAGGTAGGCTGGCGTTGTTCGTAGTGGGAGGTAATGTCGCTGGATTAGGAGAACGATAAGGGATAGAACAAGAAGCGCAAGAAGCGCAAATATTTCGGAGGGCACCGGCGACGGACTGCTCGAGATCTGCAGCATCCTGAAAAGCTAAGAATGCTCTAAATGCCCCATGGGAGTGGGCTTCAAGCTGAGTTGAATGAAATTGTAGATGTTAGAAACGCGGCTTTGACGGAATAATAGGTGCATATTAGTTGCGTCTCTGGACAGGCGCTGACGTCGACTTTACTTGTATGAACATGGCTTGTGCTCAAATTGCAAGGATCAATGCGTAGGGCCCGCTCTATTGGATGCGGCTAAAATTATATTTGCATGGTCCTATGTATGTATGTATATTTGTAGCCCTATGTATCATGACATTGTGGCGTTCCATGTGGCTGCACCTTTTTACTACATACCGTAGGTACTCGTACGACCTATTTGAACTTTACCTAAGAGGCTACTTTGGGTACTTTACCGAGAACTAAGCAGGGGTAGCTCAGCGAAACAAGCTGGCCACTTCAGGAAAGCGAACCCCGGATTTATTTTCGCACGGCTGAGGAGAGGCCAGCTATCATTGTGTGTTGAATGTTGAAATCGTCTAGAAACCATCGACTTCTCACACGATCAATTCAATTTACCACCATACGTCCCCCCTTTCGCCGCATTAGGTCGCATCCCAACCTTCCTTTTCTATTTGTTCTTTCTTCGCTTCCCCTTGCATATTATTGCTATATTATTTTTTTCGGATTAGATCCTACATCCCGCCTCCCGAGTACCGAACCCGACAATGTGGTTTCCAGCGCTGTCAGCCCTATGGCTGGCGGCTACGGCTTGGGGTGCTGTAGGTCGCGATGAAGATGGCAATATTAGGACTATATCTGTAAGCCTTGCGCGCGCTAGTTAGGCTGTTCGGGCTGTTGCTGACGAGTTATTTGTCTTGCAGCTTCGGACCCATACGTTGAAGCAGCCCTACTTGGACTCCGAGATGCAAAGCCGGTGGTACGATTTTGGAGGCGATACAATAGTTCGAACGGATTCGTAGGTTACCACCTAGTACTCGATAAATCGAGCACACCTTTTAATTTATACTTGATAGGTATATCCGTCTAACTTCGGATCGCCCGTCGCAAAATGGATGGTTGTTTTCTCGAGTACCCATGACCGCTACGAATTGGGAAATCACTGTTGAATTCAAGATCCACGGGACCAACCAATTATATGGCGATGGCTTTGCGATGTGGCTTACAAAGGAGCGAGGTCAGATCGGACCGGTTTTTGGACATGCAGACAACTTCGAAGGCCTTGGAGTTTTCATTGACACCTACAAGAACAACCGACCTGGTGTTGTTTTCCCATATGTAATGGCGATGGTTGGTGATGGCAAAACAACATATAACAAGGACAACGACGGAAAGGACACTGAATTTGCTGGCTGCCCTGCCCGAGGCATTCGAAACGCGAACGTTCCTACTAAACTAAAACTCACCTACTTTCAGGACAAGTCATTAAAGTTAGAACTCCAATACCAGTCCGAAGATGAATGGAAGTTGTGCTTCGAGACGAACGAACCCCCGGCGATTCCTGCTGTTACATACCTTGGATTCAGCGCCGAGACAGGCGAGTTGAGTGACAACCATGATATCATCTCTATCGATGCGAAGAATCTTTATGTGACGGGAGGCTCAGCTAGCAAACCTACGCCTGGAAAAGGAAGTGTTAAATCGTCCCAGCCTAAGGAAAGCGGCGGTAGCAGCTGGACCTGGTTCTTCTTTAAATTTATTGTCTTTGGATTAGCAGTTGGTGGATCATACGTCGGCTTTACGGCATACCGAGCGAACAAGAAGAGGAGCCATCGATTCTGAAGAGTGAACTTAGAGATATCTGATGTTGGGAGGTGGAGAAAATGCCAAGAACGACGGGCGTACATATCATCAGCATATGACAGTGCAAAGCAGTGGGCTTTCTACGAAGCCTCATGGGTTCTTTATGTCTTATATGGTTGGCGGGCGTCGACTGGCAATGTAAAACTATGGAGTAGCGCACAATACAGAAGAAATTACGAATTTCATTCCAAGATTTCCAGATCGGATTCAGCTAGCTAAAGTGTAACATAAGATGGATGGTTCTTTGTTCTGGTAGGTGGCTTAGCTATCTGTGGCACGAGGTGTAACTATCGGGACAATAGCTTTGTTCGTGATATGGCCTCATCTAGTTTTCTCGTCAGAGGCTTACTTCTCCATGATCACGGAAGGCAAAATGGTTACCAACACCCTCCACTATACTACTATATATGAGTAACGTGGGGTTGCACTGCGCGCTATTTTATACCACATAACTGCTAAGATGCCATCGGCGATGCCCATCCGATACTACAGATTTTTATTAAAAATATAGATGCCGGAATGTCTCACCCAGGTGTTTAACTATTTGCTTAACGGCCGTACTAAATTCGCGAGTCATTTTTACTCGCAACCTTTTATATACTAATATACCTACCTACTTACCTTTTGTGTGTGTATATGTACCTGAGGTGTTTATATCAAGAGCATCCAGCGTCGATTGATTATTACAAGCAAGTATATTACAAGCAAGTACCGTTGAAGCAAATAGGACACTCCGTACCTACGCGTAGGTAGGTTAAGTACTATTCCGTATACACACTTACACAGGCACTTATACAAGTAAAGACCAATTATTTCGGCGATATAAAAATTACCCCACGTTAATACCGTTAAGTACCAGTATACATCCATATATATACCCAGATACCTAGATGTACCTACTCGGTAGTGATCTGATATTTATCTATCCATTCATACCACTTCACGCCTAATCCAGCATCGTTAACACTACAAGCGCTTATCTATCGATGTAATCGATGTAATGTAAAGTTTCTAAAAAAAGGAAAGAAAAGGAAAGACCAACTGTACATACAAATAGCAATGCTACTGTTTGGGATCTTACTAGGTATCTAGTTCCGATCTTAGAATGATGAAACCCTCCCCCCCTCATTTTCACTCACTTTCTAACCTAGTCCACTATTATAAAAGATCTACGTAATGCCCACATGCGATTCTTTTAAGATTCAACCCGAAGCCCGACAGGGTATTCTGTTAGATGTTAGAGCTACCGGGGAGATGCGGCCTTTTCCCACCCTTGGGCTTCAAAAGCTTCCAACCAATATTCTAGCCAGTCTATTAGGTTAATTGTTTTCAGGTCGTCACAATCTTCAATCATTATTAACCCCGCTTGTCACATTGGTGATTGGTACAAGGTACAACAGGAAGACAACTTTAGTTGGAGAGGAAGGAAAGGGAAACGGACCCCACCCCTTTGATCCTCCTCTTGGTGGTCTAGCATGATCCTTTTCCACGCCCTCACCAGCTTCCTCGTCTGAAGAATCCCACGGTTTTAGAGCTTCCGCCTAGAGATTTCGCCACGAGCCGCTAGACCTCTTCTAATTATATAGCATCTACATGTATTCCTACATGTGGTAGGCTATGTGGGCTTGTGTTACTATTGTACAGCATTTTATTTACCATCTCCTTACCTTAGGTAAAGTTCACATACTCTTTTACTCTTTTTTTTTTTTTTCTTCTCACAATTTCTTCCCCTACCGTATCAAATGTGTAAGCTAGGTACCTAGGTCCTAGGTAGGTACATGATCTACCTAACCACCCCTAGTATTAACCTAGCATTACTCAAATTCGCCTACCTTCGCACGAAGCAGGCGCTGTATTTGTGCATACTTAGCGTCTACAGGCTCTTTACCTACCTGGGTTAGTAGGTTAGGTACCTCTTTACTTTACAAGTGCAGGTGCTTTCCCTAGTCCTCCCCGCTTGTCTTGCCGTCATTCAGCCCACTTTGCTATCGCCTCTTCGGGTCCTTCTTTTCGGGTCTCCTCCTGCTACCAAGATTCAAGGACTTACAGACTTGCAGACTTACAGACTTACAGACTTACTACCTCCGTCTAAGCCCTCTACTTGCCTGCTCGCCGCGCTGTATTGCATCCCTCAATCCAATATTCTAAATTATAGGTATCACTCCGTATCTCTTCAGGTCGTGGTTCCGAACGCCGAATCTTCCAAAAGTCCAGCGCATCCTATTACATCGGCCCCGCGGCCATCTTTCTTGTGCAATCCTTCGGAGAAAGAGAACTTAGGCTGCGCAAAAGTTGGAACCATTCAATTGGTTCAATTGGTCTCTTCATCTCTTTGTACCGGGACGACTTAGCATCTATTCAGCTGCTAGAAAAGAACGAAGTTGGATTCCTGTTTTCAAAGTTGTTTGTCTTATTACTAGAAATATTAACAGCTGTCACAAAATTACATGCTCAGAATAGCTAGCTACCCGTACCTTGAAACCTTCCGCCGTCGTCAGCCTCCTTCGAACACTCCAGCGGAGGCGCGTTACAAATCATCCAGCTCCAAGACCATTCCCTCTCGGCCATTCCTTCGACTACCTACGTGCCAACCTAAGCATCGCTATCTAGCAACTACTCTATACCTGTTAAAAAGATACTCGGTCGGGGGCCATTGCGTCATCTGATATCGACAGCTGGCCTGTATCCAAGCCGGTCTTTACAACATCACACTATTTTAACCTGTTCACCGTCACGAAGGGCACGTCCCCTCACTTCCCTAAACATATCATATGCCGACGTTAGGATCGTTAGGATTTCTCAAGAAGAAGCGGACGAAAGAGGAGAAGCCGGACCCTTCTTCCAGTCAGCCCACGAGTCCTGTTACACCAGTCACTCCGACATCTTCGAGGACATTCGGGTCGAGCTCCCTGACCACCGTCCCAACACATAGTACAACCGCGACAAGCATAGCTTCCCAATCGCAATCGACGACGAAAAGCACTCAGGAGGCACCAGCTTCTGCTGGTGGGGGGTCACAAATGAATTCACCAGCAGCCCAAGCCGTTCCTTACGGGATCCAGCCTTCTCTGAGCCCCGCGCAGACGGGAACACCGCAAAATTTACCGAGTATCAATAACCTAATCAACCTACCGCAAAATGACGGTAAGGGATGACTATAGCTATAGCTAAGTAATTTTTATCTAACACAAAAGGCAGGTCACCCCGGAGCGCCCCCTACGCATCAACAACACCAATCACAACCTTCCGAGGTTAGGGTAACGAAGGGAAAGTACTCGCTTACCGACTTCGATCTCCTCCGGACACTTGGTACGGGAAGCTTTGGGCGTGTTCATCTGGTCCAGTCGAAACACAATCAACGATTTTACGCCGTTAAGGTTTTAAAGAAGGCCCAAGTTGTCAAGATGAAGCAGGTGGAACACACCAATGATGAACGACGGATGCTCGGTGAGGTTAAACACCCATTCCTCATCACTCTATGGGGAACCTTTCAAGACCCGAAGAATCTGTATATGGTTATGGATTTTGTTGAAGGTGGCGAGTTGTTCTCTTTGCTAAGGAAATCAGGCGTATGTCGACGGCCATATTTTGGGTGCATAATGTCGCTAACTTGTACCAGCGATTTCCAAACCCGGTAGCTAAATTTTATGCTGCAGAAGTCACTCTCGCCCTTGAATACCTACATTCAAGAAATATCATTTATAGGGATCTAAAACCCGAAAATTTACTCCTGGACCGCCACGGGCACCTCAAAATAACAGATTTTGGCTTTGCCAAAAGGGTTCCGGATAAGACATGGACCTTGTGTGGGACTCCGGACTACTTAGCACCAGAAGTGGTTTCTAACAAGGGTTATAACAAATCGGTCGACTGGTAAGTTTCGGTTCGCAGAGCGATGTTGATAGATCGGTTTCTCACGTGGTATTTACCATAGGTGGTCTCTAGGCATCTTAATCTACGAGATGCTTTGCGGCTACACGCCGTTTTGGGATAGCGGTTCGCCGATGAAAATCTACGAAAATATCCTAAGGGGCAAAGTCAAGTATCCAGCGTATGTCCATCCTGACGCTCAGAATTTACTGGAGCTTCTTATCACGCCAGATTTGACAAAGAGGTTGGGTAACCTCTATGGAGGATCACAAGATGTGAAAAACCACCCGTGGTTCGCAGAGGTCACATGGGATAGGTTATCAAGAAAAGACATTGACGCCCCATACACACCCCCGGTTAAGGCCGGTGCTGGTGATGCAAGCCAATTCGATAGGTACCCTGAAGAAACAGAGAAGTATGGCCAGTCAGGGAGTGACGAGTAAGTCAAACGAATCGAATCGTGACGAGATATGTATATGCTAACATCTGCAGGTATGGATACCTATTTCCCGATTTCTGATAAGCCGGTGGGCTTGTTCTATAAGTGAGTACTATTGGGCGAGGCGCATTGCAGATTCTTAGATCAGGGCCTATCAGCTGGGCTAGACTTGGGCAAGGGTTCAATTTGTTGCTTTGTCTTTTATGGACACCTTGAAAAGAAGTGACAGCAGTGGCTCTTATGGCGTAAAATCGTACCGAACGCGATGGCACACGCTTGAAAGGGGTGATGGGTGAGGCGCGCGACTTCGCATCTGGACGAAAAGTTGTGAGGTTGTCATGGGGCTTAAGGCGAATAAAAAGGGGGGCCTAATAGAATTGGGTGTCAACCTAGCCTTGGAAATTCTACATACGAACATTATAGGTTAACAAACCAAAGACTCAAATGTCGTGGTTCGTAAAGACTACGTCGTTGTAGGTAGTGTGGGAGTGTTGTATTGTAGTGTTATGCCACGAAGGTGATAGATGATTCTATGAAGGTCGCGCTGTTGCCTACCACAAGGAATTTGCCATTTGGTATTGCAATATCCAATGACCACGGGAAAAATGCTCACCGGACACGTCGATGCAGAGACCCGCATGAGGCTCTGTTCACGGTTCTCTGTAAGATGATTTCTCCAAGCCAAGGTCCCCTTCCCCTCCCCCACCATACATAGTACCTTTTCGTCTTACAGGTTCGATCTATTTTATATTCAGGGTAAATGATACTGTCTATCTTATTACGAAAGATGATTACAACTCCTTTGAGACTCATGTTGAGTAAGACCTAATGTACATATTGACCTTTAAGAAAGAGACACGCATCATTCTCTAAGCAAGGTAAAGATATCCCTGTGTGAAGTTATGTAATCTACTTTGGTATGTAGGTATTATATGTAGGTAGGTAACTATTATGTAGTTATTACCGGGTAACCTAGGTATGTAGTAGGACGAGGAAGGTTTCAAAGTCTTAAAGCCCTAAAATGGGACGGATGTTCGGAAGACGGCCGCGACCCATAAATCCCCACCCAATCCCGTGTCGTGTCTCCACAACTTGTTACAATTTAGAATAAGCTTCTAACCTAACCTAGTCTACCCGCCTCTCTCTTATTTCTCCTTTAATCGTTAGCTTAAATTATTTTATCTGAAGAAGTTTGGGGGGGGGAGATCGTTTTCTTGGTTTTCTTGCCCGCTGGACTCCGAACTGCAATCCCGAGACAACAGGACAAGTTCGGTCAAGTATCGCCTCACGACCCTCCGCATCGATTCGGGACTGCGCCTCGATCTGCTGCACGTCACAAGTTCATGAGTCTTATGGAAGCTTAATTGAAGATGTTTTGATGCCGTGTTGCTTCGATAATTATTCTCGATATAGATGCTTGTCTTTGCCCCCTTTTGCTGTATCATAACGTAGTTTGCATCTCTTGACCGCTATCGATATGGACGACTATCTATTCCGCTGGCATCTTGACCAATGCAAATCTGTCGAGGAGAAAACGACTTATTTGGAGATCTTCAACTATTCGGTGCGTTTTTACTCTGCTGATACGAACGTATCAGATTTGCTTCTATCTACTCTCAAGAATTTGCCAAGCTTTCATATACATCAGGTATATATGTTACATGAGTAGACCAGCACTGACTTCAACATTAGGATCCGGCTTATAATAGTTGCGAGGACCATTCTTTACTAACAGAGGATGACTTTGAAAACTTCCTTCGGCAAACTGTAAGTCGACCGTCTCATACTAAGTCTTACGTTTCTTAGATGTATCGTAATTGTGTTTGCATATATTCTAGTGACTCCACTTACTATCCCTCCCAAACTATTCATCAGGAATCATTGGCATTCTAGACTAACACAACAGTATTTCTAGGGCACATTCTCTCCCCAACCGCTTAAAGAGGGAGTGAAATTACAAGATGGAATCCGTCTGATGTGAGTGAGAGCGAGATTTCATCCCAAGACTGAGGCTAAAAACTGCGTGACAGAATTCAAAAAGATGCCAACCACGCCAATACATTTGCGCCTGATTATATATCTTTACAGCGATCTACTTATGAATCTATGGTTAGGGTACGTATACCACCTATATATCCATTATTCTTAGTCCTGGTGATTGTTACTTTTGGCTTAAATCTTGGACATCTATCAAGTCCTAGATTCGTGCCTTGTAACAAGCAATGAACCCCTAGCCTAATTATTACTTAATATACTAATTATGAGTGATATAGACATGGCGTCTTCCATTCCGAGCTATCGAGGGTAGCAGTATTGTTGGGCCCTTTTTCTGGTGCTCTCATGATCAAGATAGAGACGATCGCCATCTACGTAAGCATACCTCTCAAAACCCTGTTGCTTGCCGAAATAGACAAAGAACTGTATTCAGATAGTATGTCTAACGCTTCTTAGAAATTATCTTCCGGAAATCTGACGTGCGTAAGAAAGGCAAGACTCGAGGATGGGAGATCAGTATGTTATTCTACTTAGACTTATCTACGTCACCACCCTATCAAGCATGATTCCGAGGTTTCTTGCAAGTTGCGCGTACTAACTTATGCTACTGCAGTGCTCTCATATTCATACAAGACGCGTATAACTTCGGGATTTGTTAAAGGGACTGAGTCGTCAGATATTGTGAAGTCGCTGAAGCACTTAAGCGCCTGCCGAGCTGAAGTCGGCCACCCACTTCTTCTTCCAATCATCATTCTCTCTCACGATCTTTCATCCAAGGGTGACAAAAGACAACGCGATGCACGGGATTGGCTACGTCGCCTTGAGAATGCCATCACTATGCGAAATGAGATTGACCTAGCGGAAGTATATTCCGAATTTGATGTGGATGGCATCAATCGGGATCTTGTTGAATGCCATTCCCAGGTCCTCTGGAAACGGCCGCAAGCATACCAAGAGATCATCAAAGAAATCAAGGAGGCAATGCGGAAGTTTATGGAGTATGAGCCGGATGGGGGCCAAACATATGAGACCCGCGCTTTGAACGATAGTATGCTAGCTAGACTGGATTTCTACCGAGTGAAACTCACGGGTATGGAACATTACATACATACGACGTTGGAGAGGTTACACATACAACGACAAGCCGTAAGTTGTTATATCCTAGTAGCTAACACGCGCTTTACTGACAGATGGCAAACAGTTGTATAACATCATGGCTCAGAAGGAATCCAAACTTAACCTCGAAATAGCCTCGCAACAGAGGAGAGTAGCACATGCTACTAAGCGAGACGGCACCGCTATGAAGACACTGTCTCTTCTTGGTGCTGTGTTCCTCCCTGGGACGTTTATGGCTTCCGTCTTCAGCATGACTTTCTTTGATTTCAAAGTCGGTAAGTAGTTAACTTTCACCTGGCCTCCTAATCCTTCACTTAGGGTCGACAGGTTCCTAGCGACTAGACTTGAAAGCTTACTTCTCTAGGGCCGGATAGCGATGGCTCCTCGGGGAGCTCCGAGGTTTCGAGTGAATTATGGGTGTACTTCGCCGTCACAGTACCGTTGACGTTCTTGATCGTGCTAGTTTGGTGGATTATAGATCACAGGCGCGAGAGGAAGTATGCCGAAGAGGACATTGAAATCGAGAAAGGCATCGACACCATGGAAAAGGATATCTTGGCCATCATGCGCAAGAAGACTATAAATAAGGCCTCTACATGGAACTCTTCCGGTACACCTGCGGCGACGGCGTTGGCGAAAAGAGAAAAGCTTCTGGCGTTGAAATCACACGACCAGGCCCTCGAATTGATTTGATAGGCGCTTGAGATTTAGTACAGTCGAAGCCAAGGATGACCCACGCTAATTTTCCGGTTCATTGATCCGGAAACAAGGCCGGCGTTGTTGATTTTTGAACATTCACTTTTTGCCGATAGACCTGACGACGCCACGGTTTTACGACTGTTCACGAAAGTATATATCACGTAGGATAAAATCTGCCTACCCTAATGCTTCTTCGATAAAGATTCACGATATAGCGTACATATTGATTACCTAATAGATGAATATTGCGGCCGCAGATTTGATGTCTTCATACTTCCATATATATATATATATATATATAACCTCCTTATCTCAATTCTGAAATCAGAGTTTTGCTTCCGAACCCCTCGCAGCCCCGGGGGGTAATAACTCAACATCGCGATACGGCAGCCCAAGGAAGGCATACACGTGACTCCACCTATCGCTACCGAAGAAAGGCTCGCTCTCCCCCGTCGCCGCGTTCGTAACCCACAGCCACGGGGCGCCGAACGCGCCCTGATCCAGCGCTCTCTGCGTCGTCTCCCGGAGCGCGTTCTTGTACTCGGCGGACTTCTCCGCCTGCAAGATGCCCGCGACCTCCGGGGCCGAGAACAGTCTTTCCCCGCCATCCCCCGGCCCTAAAACCTCCGGCGGAGACGAACCGGCGGCGTTGGTGCCGGCGGGGATCCCCGCGAGCGTCTGCCCCAAGGTCTCGGGCGTGATGGGCGGCCGGTGCAGCGTCCAGAACGCGTGGAACAGGGCCCGCCACGTCGCGAGGTACGTCGCGGCCGGGCAGTGCGTCTTGATGTAGAGGAGCGCGCGGAGCGGGACCATGGTCCGGCCCGCTTGCATTAGGTCCCCCGGCGGCGAGACATTGGCCAGTCCGACGGCGCGCAGTGAGCGCTGGCTGTCGTGCACCCCGTAGACGGCTTTGGCGGGGAGGGTCCAGGGGGGTTTGTTGCCGGAGCTGGCGTTTACGGCGCCTAGGAAGAACGGATGGATGCTGGGTTGGTTATTGTTAGTTGATATGGTGCCGTAGATAGACGTATGTGCCTGTTCACCCAAGGCTACGTGTTAACGAGGGATGAACTAACTTGATTTCTACCGAGTGCTGTTTTAGGAGATCTTGAGTTTTTATAGCTTGGATAAGTGCTATGTAGCTGTACAACGACGCTGACGTTTTTTTTCGAGAGAGTTAGCCGTCGGACAGGTCTCATATATGATAACTGATAAGTGATAGATATACGGCCTTTGCCGTGATTAGGTACTTGGGAGGGGGGTGAATTACCGACGTCGAGGTACAAATCAATATGACCACCCATAGTGATAGATCAGATTACCGATTTCGAAGCTGTGGTCGATTAGTAAATCCGGAGAAAATGAAAAATGAAAAATGAGATCCAATGTGATGAAGTTGGTGAGAGGTTGTATAAGATGTATAAGATGTGCTAGGTATTCATATATAAGGTATCGATCGACTTTAGTAATCAACCTCGGTTGCGGGATACCCCCCACCCACAACCGAAACATGGTTAGGAGCATATTTGATAAAAGCAATTGCTCTATATTCGTACCTATTCGTAGAGTGGAATTCATGAAAATCAATCGCGATCGTTACATGTATGTAAGAGGGACCTCCTCTAAGCAAATCATCCCGATATTCGATAGCCAAGTAATTGATGCCGATGTGCCCCCCTTAATGCAAATCCCACCTACTTGAACTTACTAACACCCTTACCGCCCGTAACTCTTACGCCGCCTGGTATCGATGCCCTGTATCTAGCCGAGAGTCCTCACCCTTTGTACGATGCAATTACTCAAGATTGTATGGTTCCATCCGTACCGGGCCGCGGCGCACCCGTAGCTAGCTTGCCCATGAATCCTCCACTGACCAGGTTCATGGCCGTCTGGAACGGATCTATGCCGCTCTTGTTTGCCTTTTCAAGGCCAGCAGCCTTGAATGCCTGCTCGAAATCGCGCCTGATGTCTTCGAAGTCCTCAATGCCTAGACTGACACGTAGAAGATCGGCTATTCATCGAATCTTCAAGTCAGCAATGGTCTCTTAGATACGGAGAGATGATGGAAACTAGGGCACACATACGCGTCACACCACCCTTGATCTTTTCATCATCGGGCATCTGCTGGTGTGTAGTCACCCAGGGGTGAATGATGAGAGTCTTGCAGTCTCCAACGTTGGCCAAATGGCTAGCCATCTTGAGATTGTCAACCACGGCACGGACTTGCTCAACTTGTCCAGCCTATAGCTAACGTTAGCTGGCAATGCTCTAATTATTCAAAATGCCTCGCGTCTTGAGGTTACACGAATAAAGGGGTGAAAGTACGTACCACACCAAAAGTCAGGACGCCACCTGCTCCCTTCGGCATAACCCTCTTTGCCAACTCATAGTCAGGATGCGATTTTAATCCCGGATATAACACCCAGTTGACACAGGGGTGGCTTTCGAGCCATTCTGCGAGCTTCTGTGTGTTTTCAACAGTTCTCTGACCCCGAAGCGGGAGCGTTTCTAGTCCCTGAAGGAATAGCCAGGCATTGAAGGGGCTCATGCAAGGGCCAAGATCACGCATGCTATCCATTCGCACTTTAGCTGCCAACGCCTTCTTTCCGTACGTCTCCCAAAATCGCATGCCGTGATAACCCTCTGCGGGCTCTGTGAAGCCCGGGAACTTTCCCGATGCACTCCAGTCGAAGTGTCCGCCATCGATCACGATACCGCCCATGCTAGTTCCGTGGCCACCGATCCATTTCGTAGCGGAGTGTGTAACGATGTCAGCTAAAGAGTCGTGTCAGCTTACAAATTTTATTTCAGACAAGTCATATGTTGCGGTCTACATACCTCCAAGCTTGATAGGCTGGCATAGATATCCGCCCATTCCAAAAGTGTTGTCGACAACCAAGGGGATGCCATGCTTGTGGGCCACAGCGGCAAGTGCTGCAATGTCCGGAACGCTATGTTTCGGGTTGCTGATTGTCTCGATGTAAATGGCTCGCGTGTTCTCGTCGACTGCTTCGTCAAATTTCGCGGGGTCGTTTCCGACCACCCATTTGACGTTAATCTTAAATTTGCTCAAATACACACGGAATTGGTTGAAACTGCCACCGTATACTATTCGTGACGAGGTATTTAGGTTAGTATACTTGGTCAGTAGCCACATTTCTTGTAATTTGAGACTTACGCCAACTAGTACTGATGAAGTTGTGGCCGGGTTCACAGCATTGGGTCAAGGCCATGAACTAATAATACCTATTAGCATAGGGCAGTGATGACTGCATATTCGATACAATGTAACTCACCTGCGCTGCGTGACCAGATGCGGTAGCCACTGCTCCGACACCGCCCTCCAGCATAGCCATTCGGTTTTCAAAAACCGTGTTGGTGGGATTGCCCATACGTGTATAGACATATCCGTCTCGAGACCAGGCGAACTTGCTTGCTCCATCAGCAGCGTCGGAAAAGTTATACGCAGCAGTCTGGTAAAGGGGCACGGCTCTTGCGCCGTTGATCGGATCAGGCTCCTGTCCGCCATGCACAGCAATTGTGTCGAAGCTAGGCTCCCTATTTTTATTTTTATTTTTATTAGAGGTCTGTTTTCCTTTCCTCATCGAGAGTTTATAGCAACGTACCAGTCTAGATTGCTAATTGATCCCGGAGGAGACATCTTGAAGTCGAATGAAAGACTCTTGTTAGGATGGTGATATCTAAAGAGGATAGTTTGAAAGTGTTGAGGAGGCTGATGTGTTTGTAAGTTTCGTCTGATACAGAGAGGCTCTCGGCTTTAAATGTATAGACGTTGAAGAAGGTGCAAGGCGTTCAAATTGGAAACGATTACAGATTACATACTTCCCTACATACATGCCTACATATGTACATACCTACTTAACCTTAGGCATGTACAGAAGTAACGCCCCTCAACCTGCAGCTTCCTCTCGAGCTAGAGGTACCTACATACGTCAGATAAGGCAAGTACACCTTGCCTCCATACATACCCGGTTGCCGTTGGTTATTGCCAGACTGCAATGCAACACCAGCAAAGCCCGAAGCTTCCTTAGTCGTCGTATGATAGGAAGACCCACTACTCCTAGGGTCCCAGGGTCTCTGTACCTGTGGAGAAGGTCTCATGCATTATACAATCCCAGAAAACAACATGCAACGCCTACATAGCGATACGCGATTCACGATACGCGATTCGTACATGTGGACATGACCTCCCTACCTACCTAGGTAGGTACCTAATCATAGGTATATGATGTGAAGCACGGCGTCCCCCGCACATTCATGTCATGCGTGTTAACAGCCGCCGCAGAAAAGAAAAACCTGTGATTGCTGACCGCCGCCACTGACACCATAGATACTACTACAGATGCCAGGGACGACCCGAGTTTTCGGTCCCCATTTTGCTTGAGACACTGAGACACTGGGACAATGAGACACTGAGACGCCGAGCCTCAAGATCCCGCGCCACTCGGTCATTGGATAAGTTCCACGTGCTTAGAATTCCTTTAAGGGAGATAGGTTACACATGTGCAGGCGAGCAATCATTCTCGAAGGAGTCGCCATGGCGGGTCGTTCTGTGGGTACAAACCAGGTTTTTTCTATTCATGGTTGTACTCTACGTACGATCTATGTAGATGGAAGTCCAGACTCGGATGCTCGAACATCCACTCTATCGGGCCACATGCCTCCTATATTGATCAAACGGCGTTATCCCAAGTTTTCTACTGCCTAGCTCGCTTCTTTACTTTATTTGGTAAAGCTTACACTTGTCCCTGGCTTGGTATTCACCGTCAACGTGCTGTGATGCGTTAGCTGCCACGTTTTGTTGGACTGGTAGAGTTCTAGCCCTGGCCGACTACTTACAACACGTCTGGGCGAGCGTAGCTACCAACCGGGTCGAAGTCGAGCTGAAAATATATTGTTAGAGCGTTGGGACGAGACGTCAATCGGGTTTAAGATGTTTACTTGCTCTTGACTCCGTTACTTCGGACATTTTCAAATCGGCATAGACGATCTCTTCTTTGTCCCATATCGGCTCGGTTATAGGAACTCCTAGAGGTCCTACAATGAAGGACCCTCCGTGATTAACAATATCGTTAGGCTCCCACTGTGAGCCATCTGGCTTCCTATCATGATGCTCAGGGGTAAATGGTGGGTAATCCTTCGGAAAATCCGAAACCTTAACCATTGAATTTACCGAGACAACAAAGCAGCGTCCTTCTTTAGCAATATGCTGCATTGATGCGATCCAGGATGGTAGATCATCCGCATTGGGTGCTAAGTAGATTCTGTTGGAAGATTTGTTAGCAAACTTCGACCATTTCCTCCCTAACCAGTGGATATATTTTCTTACTCGACTCCTTGCTGGTAGAGAGCCATCCGCGCTGCGGGCATGTAGTTCTCCCAGCTAAGACTTCATTAACAACTCAGAGTTCATTTCGAGGCATATAATCTCACCATATCAAGGTGCCAATTTTGCCAATGTCAGTTTGTACGACTTCAAGGCCGTCTCCTGCACCTCGTCCCCACACCAGGCGCTCTGCAGCCGTGGGTATCAACTTATTCGCGTTTAATTTCCGTGGAAGATTTTACGAAGGCTCGGCTGTACTCACTTTACGATGCTTCAACAGTACTGATCCATCTCGACCAACTAATAAGGCCGTACAGTACAGAGTGCCTCCATCTTTCTCGATGATGCCGACTTGAATATAAACCTGGTGGGACTTGGCCGCCTTCGAGATGATATCAACTGCCGGGGAAGGCACGGCAACAGCTGAATCATAGTACTTTGCATACCATTCTCTTCCTATTGAAGGTCAATTCTGAAAATTACTCTCCTATCGTAAAAACTCTTACCACGCGGCTCTCGAGCACCAATCGTAGCATCAAACGCATATCTCCACGGATACGCGGACAAGAATGCCTCACTGCATAACCACTATTAGCAACTCATGATATTGGTTGAGTATGCATTGCATTGCTTACGGAAACACGATAAGGTCTGCCCCGGCTCCAGCCGCCTCACCGACTATTCTAGTCAGTTTTTCTAGACTCTTATTGAGGTCAAAGGAGACGGGCGCCGCTTGAACGGCGGCCACTTTCACAGCCCGAGCCGTAGCCATGTTTTCTGAACTAATGTGTAAGTCAAAGCAGTTGTATGCTTATCAGAATATAAGCCAGGAAGATCCCGTAATGTGGTTCGGGGTTCTCTCTATCGGAGTTAAGGGGCAATGAGATTTAGGTTCTAGTAATGATACCTGAATAGGGCGGTAGGTGCCGGATCGACGGTGTCAGTCGATTCCTGCCCCTTGGCCCGCGATACCAATTTAAGGACATCGTGATAACCCATGGTAGTGTTTGGTCAATAGAGAAAATCGCAGATTGTGGAGCCGAGGCACAGCATGCAGTACGACGGCGCATACTACTCTGCAACACGACGCAGATCCCGAAGTACCAAATCCCGGTTCGCTAGGCGGTAGGCCGAATACCGGATCAAGATACGTACTTTTTACCTCCCCGTCTAGAAGATCACCCTTGGATCTTCCATTGCAACCGTCTTTGTGTGGGGTCGCATATGGCGTATGCAGTTTGCTGCCCAGCTATTCGGGACTTGGTTAATACCGGGTGTACGCGGAACTATGCACTACTATATCCATACATAGTTACGGATGTGGCGCCAGGGTCGTCTATCTATTGCTCAACGCTGCCCAGCTTGTCTTCATTGCTGAATCTATCTTAGTAAAATCCAAGTAAACTTTACATCAACATGGCAACTCGTAAGTGGACCTCTTCCAGCTATCTTAGAAAGTATTCTCACGCATCACAGTCCTGGATCATGATCCAAACCCTCAGAACTTCTACGCAGGCCTCATCCAGGGGCAGAAGTTCGCCGTTATATCAGAGCTTACACTCGACTCGGGCGAGATATTAGAGTCTTGTCCGATCGCCTACAAGACATGGGGTCGACTCAACGACACCGCAGACAATGTCTTGGTGATTTGCCATGCTCTTACTGGTAGCAGCGATATCAGTGATTGGTGGAGTCCGCTTCTTGGGCGCAACAAGGCGTTTGATCCAGCGCACTTCTTTATCTTTTGCGCGAACGTTCTCGGATCACCCTATGGTAGCGCATCGCCGCTCACCATCAACCCTCAGACGGGACGGAGATACGCTAGCGAATTCCCGCAAACAACTGTCCGTGACGATGTGCGGTAAGCTTAACCCCTATTTATCATGGGTATGACTATATTGTTCCTGTCAAGTAGGTACTAATGCGATTTCTACGTGGGTAGGGCACACAAGTTCGTTCTCGACGCCCTAGGCGTCCGCTCGGTGGCAGCTGTAATAGGGGGTTCGATGGGCGGAATGACAACTCTTGAATGGCCCCTTTGCACCACCCCTGGCTATGTTAGGAGTATTATCCCGATCGCGACTGCAGCAGACCACAGCGCCTGGGGCATTTCATGGGCTGAGACGCAACGTCAGTGTATCTACTCAGACCCTAAATTCGACGACGGCTACTATGAGCCAATTCCCGAGGGCCAGCCATCGGCGGGTTTGGCCGCGGCGCGTATGGTGGCTATGCTCACCTACCGTTCATCCATGAGCTTTGACTCCCGGTTCGGCCGCAAACCACAGCGGCAAAAGCCGAGGCCCGTACAAGAGCCGCCCCTAGATCTCCCACGAACAGACGTCCCTGTTGCGACCACGGGGGCGGCACCGACATCCGCTAAGGAGCGCTCGGAGCGGAAGAGCTGGACCGCAAGACGGGACCCCTCATTTTCCGCTCAGGGGTATCTACATTATCAGGGACAAAAGTTTATCCAGCGTTTCGACGCCAATTGCTACCTGCACATCACCAATAAAATGGACGCGCACGACGTGACGGTAGATAGAGCGCCCGCCGGTGAAGATTCGCCTCCTATCGATGGCGATAGCGCCTTGCTCTCCGTGCTGTCCGTAGTACCGCCCGGTGCCCTAGTAGTCAGTGTCGAGACAGATGCGCTATTCCTGCCCGAGCAGCAAGAGCGGCTAGCGGCTTGCCTTCCTAATGCTACACTTGCGATGCTCAAGTCTTCTGACGGCCACGACGGATTCCTACTTGAATTTGAACAGCTCGGGACGCTACTTCTAGGAAAGCTTACGAGGGACTTTCCGCATTTTTACATGTCTACCTACGACGACACTAGCTTTTCCGGAGAACACACGGCACAACCTAGCGGTGCCAGTTTGACTGGCGAGGTGGAGGCTTGGTAGAATGGCCAGGAAAGTGGCCGTGTACAGTGTCTTTACAGTGTTATTGTATATCAAGCGTGTTTTATTATAGGCACCGGAGGGTTTTCGGGGGTTGGCTGCTTGTCAAGGTGCCATTTTATTCCAGAACTTACTACAGCTGAAATGTTTTTCATATTAGTGATCTAGTAACACCGCATAAATGGGCCGATGATGATACTACTACTAAGTAACGGACCGTTTATAGGAGTCTCGCCCATTTCTCACGCTCTGATGCCAAATTTTCTTCAGCTGACGAAGAGCATACCAATATCTTCAAGCCGGTGGCTTGTAAAATGGCGGCCTTAGGGGCAAAATTGTGTGCAACATTTCACAAGACGGGCTAAGGGATGAAATCCTTTTAACTGAAGACCTCGGAAGCCTCTCTCCCTTACTACGGAGTAAAGTAAGCTCCGCGAGAAAAGGACGCGAGTAAGACGGATGATGCAGTAGATTCCAAATGATGACATCCCCCGCGGGGCAAATAAAGTGCTTAGAATACTCTACGTTGCAACGAGACGTGAAGGAAACTGACCGACTGGAGGAGGCTGTAATGTAGGCTCCTCGGATACAACGAGACTGGGTGGCAATGGTTCCGGCGGTTCCCGGCCGTATACGACTATAGCACCAGCATCGTATCTAACCCGTTTCCCATCGTGTCATCGTGTGATAGCGAGGGAACGAGCGAGCAAACAGGCTAACAAAGACCCCCCCTTAGAAGCCTAAATAAAAACTTGGCTTCCCGGCCGATTCAGGAAATAATGAAGTTCAACACTAGCCGTAGGAATTCAAACACCGCGGCCCATCACGTGGGCCGAAACGAGTAAAGTCCGGGGAAAAGGGGGCACCGCTTTGGGAAAGGAGGATCTGCTCGGTGCATACTTATCACGCATGACACCTATCATAAATGCCGTCCGGGATTTGGGAGTGCATCTGGCTGCCTCCATTGTGGTCTTCCCCTTTCCCCCTTTCCCCCTTTCCCCAGTATTTGCGGCTAGGTGATGCGTTGTATCTGTAGGTACGTATGTGGCAGACATCGTGCATGGTGTTGCATTTCCCAGAAGCCAACCCGACCCAACCCTACCTGGCGTAGATATTTCCGCTCGGGTATTCGAAATCCTGATTTTCCTTAGCTTGGTATTTTTGCTTTCCCTGGTATTCCGACGGCGTGTGATTATGGAGTTGTGGTCGGCCCACGCCGTCCCGTCTCGTTATTGTCCATTCTATGTATGTATGGCCCTCCTTTCGATATTGTCGGCAACGTATCCCGACAAACGCAACCCCGTGGATCTATGGTTGGCTTGAACTTGTAAATCTGGCTCTGCTGGCATTTTACTGTCGCCCCTCCTTCCAATTTGAGCCATGTATGGCTTTTGTGCTGACACCTATAGAGTCAGTTGGGAAGAGAGCATAAAAACAAACGTTAGCCAGGGTGGATAGCTTCCAATCTATCGGGTCAAGACAATACAAACCACTCCCTTCGAGTTCTTAGTCTCTCTCCGCCTATCTCTATTCTCTATCTTCAAATTCCATAGAGACGATCGTATAAGCGCCATAGCAATCCTTACCATCACCATCGTCATGGTGGCTGCGACAAAAACTAAGTCCTGGTTGGTCCAGAAGTATGGCGGCACTAGCCTGGGAAAGCTGTTAGATACGATATGCTGCAAAATTATTCCCCAGTACAGCACTGAGAACAATCTCATTGTTGTATGCTCTGCCCTCTCGGGAACCCTCAAAGCTAGCGGGACGACAAGTTTGCTGCTTCAATGCATAACATACGCCGAGCAGGGCTTCGATGCTCAGAAACAGCTAGTCGACCTGGTAGACTTAATCAAGGATAACCATCTGAGTGTGCTAAAGTCATTTATGAACTCTCCGGCACGGATGGCTATCCATTCGCAGATTTACGAAGAGACGGTTTCCGGTATTCAGAATGAATGCGAGGGCCTCAAGAGGTTTCTACTCGCCGCCCAGGTAAGCTTCGCTGAGTAGAAAGATCATTTATAACTGAAGCTGACTTACTGGACTCAGATTGTCGGAGAGTTATCGGCACGATCGAAAGATCGCGTCATCTCCCTTGGTGAAAAGCTCTCGTGCATGATTGTCGCGGCTTGTCTGACGAACAATGTACGTTCCTCTCAAGCCAGGAGACCGATCAAAGTCGATTCAGTCAGTGAGCTAACAAGACTTTACCTAGGGCACACCAGCGAAAGCAGTATTTCTAGATAGTATCATATCATCTGCTTTTGGCAACTCTATCCATGACCAGGTGGCTGCGTTCGAAAGGCTGGGCCCCAAGCTCTATCAGGCATTGGCCAGCCAAATAGCTGGACGAATTCGAGAATGCGGAAGCGCAATACCTATCATAACAGGTAAGACTCTATAAGAACTGTGACTCTATAAGATATATGCTAAGGCTGTAGGCTTTTTTGGTATAATGCCGGACTCGTTGCTTCAGACAGTGGGGAGGGGGTACTCGGACCTCTGCGCAGCTATGTGCGCGGTAGCAGTAGGAGCAGAAGAGTTGCAGATTTGGAAGGAAGTCGACGGTATATTCACGGCAGATCCGAGAAAGGTGCCCTCAGCACGACTCCTGTCAACAGTAACAGCCGAAGAAGCGACAGAACTGACATACTATGGAAGCGAGGCCAGTCCGTCTACTCCAATATGAGACGAAAGTAGACTAATTCAACTCACAGGTTATCCACCCGTTAACAATGGATCAAATCCGGGACGCTGGCATACCGTTACGTCTTAAAAATGTGTTCAAACCCTCGGGAAATGGCACCATCATATATCCATCAATGGACAGTTCAGTCCCTAATAGCCCAGCCAGCGCATCGTCTTGTAGCTCAGAGAACTCTTCCCGAGTAATTACGCCCTTATCGAGCTTTATGCTGGAGAACGGCTACCACGGAGCTCAGCAAGAGCGCAGGAAACCCACCGCAGTTACGGTTAAGGATGATATACTCCTTATCAATGTCGTCTGCAACAGGAACACCAAGTCGCAGGGGTTTTTGACGCAGGTGTTCGACCGTCTCGAGAGGAATAAGATCCCCGTAGATCTGGTAGCCACGAGCGAAAGGCATGTTAGCCTTGCGGTCCAGTCCCCGGGTGATCCCACTGCATTATTGAGGCTGAGGGAGGAGCTCGAACGATTTGGTCAAGTTGCCATCACCTCGCACATGTCCATCGTGACGGTAGTCGGCCACAAAATGCGCAACATGGTCGGCGTGTCTAGTAAGTTATCAACGAAACGAACGCTGATTTCACAGAGGGATAGGAATTAGAGATTGCTAACTCAACACGTCTTAGACGAGATCCTATCAGCGTTGGCCTCGGCACAGATTGGCATCTACCTGATAAGCCAAGGCGCGAGCAAGGTCAACATATCCCTCGTCGTGGACGCGGACAACGCCCTCGCGGCGATGAAGGCGATACACAGCGAGGTGCTCAAGATCCCGACGCATAGGGAACAGGAAAACCGGTTCATCCCAGGTAAGACGAGTTTGATCCTCCCGGGCCCCGGGCACGAGGCACGAGGCACGAGGCACGAGCTGCCCCTTACGTACGGAGCTAATACGATCGAGTAGGACCGTGGCTATATTAAATCGCTCACCGGAGCAGGCGCCCGGAGTAGGACAGAGATGGGGACTACATATGTCATATGTAGGTATGTATCACTACCTAACCTAGATGATAGACATTACGAGGCCGGGAGTGGACAAGTTTTGGTGCGTCCCAGCTCTCGGTTGCATAGATCAGAAAGGGGGGGGGACCGCTTGCGAGGCGTTTGATTAGAAACGAGGTTTGGGGAATTGATTGTTTGGGGGAATCGGGGATACGAGTGACGACCGAGAAGGAAGAAAAGGAATACCCCTATTTGAATATGTACTACCTGGTACCTATGTATGAGCCTTCGAGTATATAGCCCTTAATTGCATCAGGCTCTTCGCTTTTGATCGCTTTTGACCATATTATGCTTTATTGCCTACCCCGTTTGGCTTGCATATAGAATCGAACTATATTGAATTAAGAAGAGAGTATGCTATCCGGTGGGTGGGGTCTACTTACTAAACCAAACCAAATTGAACCAAACCAAACCTCGGCTGCTCCCGTATGTAGACCCACTATATTCATCATACCTACTTCGTATGTACATATAAGTCAAGTAACTTATAAGTCAAGTAACTATCAACGATTACTGATCGGTTCGAGTATACTTTACTTTATTACTTATACACCTCGGGTCGCTTAGATATTAGAAATCAGAACAACACGTATGTAGTACGGGCCCTCTCGCTCCTCCGTGTAATGATCAACCTAGTAACCTGTTGACGTTGTGTTAGTTAGGTAGTTAGTTATACGTTAAATGGATTGAGTACCTAGCTGCCCGCAATGGCAGACACCCAAGGAAACGTTGCGCTCGTCGTCGGTGCGTCGAGAGGCATAGGAAGACAAATCGCCGTGGACCTAGCGAAGAACGGATATTCCGGTAAGCCCGTCTATTACAAGCCAGATATAGGCTATAACTTATAAGCAATCGCGGTCCTAATCATATATACGCGCGCGCGTGTGTCCTCTTAGTCGTCGTCGCAGCTAAATCAACAAGTGACGCCCAGAGCGTCGTTCCCTTCCCGCCGGACCCCAACTCTCCTCAGTCTACTATTAGTACCGTTGAGCGGGAGATCCGCGAAGCCGGCGGCCAAGCAACAGCCATACCGGTGGATGTCCGGGACTTTGCCAGTGTGCAGAAGCTCGTGGACAGGACCATCGAGGTCGGTAGCGCTTTGACTCCATACACTCCCTTGCACCAAGTCCACTAACACCCACCCCCCAGACCTACAGCCGCCTCGACGTCCTGGTCTACAACTCGGGCGCAATATGGTGGGCCTCGGTCGACGACACGCCCATGAAGCGGTTCCAGCTCATGCAGCGCGTGAACCCGGAGGGTCTCTACGGCGCCATCCAGGCCAGCCTGCCGCACCTCAAGCGGCGCCGCCGCGGACGCATCGTCGTCGTTAGCCCGCCCATCTACAGCCGCTTTTTCCGCGGAAAGACGGCGTACGCCGTGGGCAAGGTGGGCATGAGCGTGCTGACCAAGGGGCTCGCCATGGATTTCGAGAGGCAGGGGTTGCGCGAGATGGCGGTTACCAGTCTCTGGCCGGCTGCCGTGCGTATTTCTCTATTTTCCATCGTCTACTACTACTACTTCTACTACTACTACTACTACTACCACTCTTACCCCTTTAGCCAGTCGTTGTCCCGATTTTCTGAGTGTGTCGTTGGTTGTATGACAGAGTAGCTTACTCGCTATTCCTCTAGGCCATCGAATCCGCCGCCACCGTCAAAGCAACACGCCCCAACCCCTCCGAAGCGCGGGACCTGCGCCGCGCAACCATATTCTCAGACGCCGTGCTCGCCGTCCTACGCGCGCCCGCCCCCAGCGTAAACGGCCGGCTCGAGCTCGACGAGGACTTCCTGCGCACCGAAGCAGGCGGACGCGTTGCCGACTTCTCCAAGTATGCCGTCGTTCCTGGTTCGGAGCCGAGGCGCATCATGCCGGCTGTGCTGCCGGACTTGACGGTCGCGGAGCAGGACGACGAGGGCAAGAGGATGGATAGTGCTGCGGAGAGGAAGAGGGCAAAACTGTAATGTCGTGGGCTGGGACCGAGATGTTTCAGGGGTGGGGTTCATTTATTTATTATTTTATTGTATGGAGGTTAGTTACGATATAGAAGTACGTAGATATACGTATAAGCTATATTATTGAATGATGAATCAAAAATAAAAGAAGAAACATTTATTACTTTTGCGGCCTGAAGCTGTAGTAGCCTCCAAAGATTATTACACCAAGACATATTATTAGTGAAGCAATTCCATTTATGAAAGCGAGGCTACTGTTATTAGAGTAGTAAATGGAGCCAGTATGAGTTATGGTGCCAAAAAATCGTATTTGCAAGAGCAACACTACCTAGAGAGCTATGATCACAAGTGCAATGTAATAGAAAAACACATCAACAAAGTTCACTTTCCAGTCCTAATATTAAGCAGCTATTGCTTGAGTAACATGTTTCTGTCCTATGAGAAACTCTCAGAGTCAATGCTTGCGAACCTTTTTTGCCAAATCGGAAAAACTTCCCCTGTACCAGTGCGTAATAAAGGTGAGAGTATGCAAATGCAACTTAATAGGCCCTAGAATACATCTCCATTGATCATTAATCCTGCTTCATCATCATCCATGCATGCAAAAGCAGTACCACTAGTATGGTTGTGTATCCACAGAAATGAATCGAACGCGTGAGATCGTAAGAACATTTTTGCCCTGTTGCGAAAGTATCCCTATCAGGCAGCCTTTTCTCTCTCCTTAGATATAGTTGATTAGCATGATGAGCATTGCTCCACCGAGAATTCCGCTCATGCCTAGGGTACCAATGGGCAGAGAAGCAGCAGCCGAGGTGGGAGGGGCACTCTCAGAGGGGCTAGGAGTAGGCTGAGTGCTCGAGTGAGAGTGAGGCTCGCTGGTGGTCACGCTAGAGGTGTGAGAGGAATGGGTCTCGGTGGTGCTGCCACTGCTGGTGACGTAGGTTGCGGTGTTGGTAGTCTCAGTGACAGAAGCAGTGGTGCTGCCGGTTCCAGTCTCGATGGTTCCAGTCTCGGTTGACTCGGTGGTCGACAGAGAGAGAGTCTCGGTGGCAGAGCCGATGACGGGAGTGCTGGTCTCAGGGCCGGTCACGTAGGAAGAGGGAGTAGCAGTCACGAGGACAGTAGACGGGGTGCCCGTGGGGTAGCCGGGGTAACCACCACTGGGAGTGTAGACCTCGCCAGTAGTGTCAGTAGGGGGGACCGTCTTGGTGACCGTAACGCCCTCGCAGGTGCAGGAAGACTCTTCCTTCTTGACAACCTCAACGTTGGATGTAGCCTATTAGGAATAACGGTTAGCCGTCAGGAAAAAGGTTAAGTATGTTAATAGTTAGGCAGCGCATAGGGAAGCGAGGGTAAATAGCGAGTCAAACGCTTCGGTAGACGAGATGAGAAGGTAAATTAGACAACAGTTGAGAGTAGGGAATGTAACTCACCATGCCGGTGGCGATCATGGCCATGGTAACGAGGACCTTAGAGAACTGCATCTTGGCGACTTGATCTAGTGTACTCGAAGAATATTGTAGAGGATGTTTGGGTTTGCGAACTGCGACAAGTTGTAAGAATTAGGAATGATCTAACGGTCCTGATGATCGACGAAGAATATTTGTCTAGGACGTCGAAGGTGTAAGGAAACGGTCGATAGATTGGATGATAGACGTGAAGAAGAAAAAGGTGGAAGAGAAAAAAAATAGAGGGACAGCTTGACGTGTTTGTAGTACCTCGTACCTTGGATCAATGTCGGGAAGGTGGGTAGATTTGTAGAAAGAGGGAAGGAAGGGTTGTGGGTGATTCACAGCAGAGATACGTTTATATCTGGCAGTTGCGTCTCGACGGTGATTTTGGAAGGCACGAAGCAACCAGGGTACTTAGACCCGAACAGGAAGTAGATATTTAATTTTTAGTGAATAATGCCTACCTACAGGTATGTACGAGCAACTAATTTATAAGGAATCTGATGTTAGGTAGCTAGGTAGGTAGGTAATCTAGATCGATTCATCCCACTTCCATGGTTACCGCAAGGAAGGTATCTTGAATCAGCATGTGTACCTACCTCCTATACATCCATACCTACCTATGGACCTAACTAACCTATTGGAACATTAGTACATTACCCCTGAGGTACATATTTATGTGTGTACTACCTACATTAGGTACATGTATATCCTTCCCCCCCTTTTTTTTTCTTTTTCTCTATCTGATCCTTTTGATCTTGAAGTTCTGCTAATAATATTTCCTGCCACCACCCGCTTTCCCGCAGATCAAGTGTTGCCTCATCTAATTTACCCGTTTGCTACCCGCCTAGTAGATATACTTGATTTATAGTACTGTTACCTAGGTAGGTAGTTACACGCTTGATTGGCATACTTTGACTTGTTCATGTACTACCGTCTACTAAGCCATCGTCTCATATCGCTGGCTACCTACCATCTACTTGCGACATATCGAATGACAGTTAACCGTTCCCCAAGAATTCCTTCCCCGGTAACGAATCTCGACAATCTAACTAGCAAACCCCTGCTCCTTAGATAGGATGTCTTACCACAAGTAATGAATTTCAGTTAGGAGGTGGTTCGTCGTCTGCTGGTCCAATCTTCCTCTGGTCCAACTTGACGTACAACCCTACAAACCGGGCCGATGCAGTGTACAAATCTACTTAACTTGATGCATCTTGTAGTCCCTATATCCAGCCTACGAGATGAACTGACTACGAGGCAACTTGGAATTCTTCAGCCCTGTCGTGATATGTGACTGAACCTCTATCATATAAACACTGCATGAATTTTGCATACAATTTAGTGATATGATAGCCTTATTTCCCAACTCTGGATCCTCATCCTAGGGGGTACAGTTCTCGTAGAGTGGACCTGTTACGAACATGTCTAAAACAGGGACCTTCTGAACTGGTAGTTGGCAAACTGACGCGCCTATGAATTAAGTCAGGGGCTGCAAGAGATGCATAGGTCCAACCGCCAGGGTGATAGTAGAATACTTCATAACCTAGGGCGCTAGATAATGGATCAATATACAGACACAGGGCGTTAATTCACTAGCTCAACAACAATTATCGTTTATATATAGTTACAGTTTTTAACACAGTAGTTTTGACTGGGGTTGTTAACGAAATCAGGGCGGGTTCCGGCTGAGATTCCGAAGAAGCCTAGGACAATGACGTACGAGTAAGGGGAAGTGCATTAGACAGATTCCATGATTCCATTGCCTACCTAGGTACCTAGGTAAGTAGGCCAGGTATTCTAATACTAATAAATAAGTACTTGCTTGAGCATAGATCAAGTACCTATCTAATTCTAAGAATTTAGCTTGGTAGAGAAGCATGCTATTCCTATAGGGCTAGGAGGATCCGGGAGCATATATTGATGGTTGAATATGTGCTCAGCGAGATGAAAGATCACATTGCTGTTTTTCAAGTCTGTGTATTGTGTGACGAGCAGTCTGCCACAGACGACTTAACTTTAGACTCCTTAGACTAACATAGGCCGAAGCTCTACGGGCTAAAACGGAGTTACAAATAGTTGGTACATAATAGACGGTATCTCGTCAAGACGGTATCTCGTTAAGACATCCATCCAATATACTGGAACAGATAGATATACTGTTGAATCATCACGAGCCCAACTTAAAAACTTACCGGCAGAACCGCTTGCTCTGGCTACCTAGGTAGACTTAGGACGTCCGGACTCGAGGCATTTCCCCTTAGGGCATTTCCTAAATGTCCCTGTTATAGGGAGAAATCCCCTTCTTAAGTTCATGTACGATCTCTGCTGCCTCTTGAGCACTCCTCGCTTCGAAATCATACCTCTTGCTTTCTGTGGCCTTGTATACTAGTAGCTAGTCCGAGTTTCAGCATATACACCATGCGTATGAGTAGGGGATCATGTTGACTTACTTTAAAATTGGTCGGATGGCGACGTGAAACACTACATCCGACCACATTGCTGAAGTGAACCGTCGTGGTCTTTCCTCCTTCACGTATTGCCTTGCCTCCGGATGATGGCTGTATGTATACGTACTCGCCATCGATTACGAGGATTCGCTCGTTCATACCAACAAACCTCATCGTCTGTTTGCGCCAAACCGTATATTTCTTGTACTTGACGTCACCGCTGCCGGCTTCGTCTTGCATTATGTTCTCCTGGGCAAGAGGGTGTGGCGTCATGAGCTTCTTCTTTCCCTTTAGGGGTGGCTCGTTCCATACGTGCGGCTTGGGGGAAGGACTGCTAGGGGAACCAATCGTTAGTGGACCATCCGTTGCAAACCGGCGACGATGAAGTTCTAGGTCCTCAACATTGCCGATGGATGAAACAGTACGGTCTACGAGAACTACAGCTCCAGAGTCGGGGAGTTTGAGCACGTGGGTGTTCTTATCCAGTTGTCTCTTACGGCAAACTAGATCAAGAACCTCAGCAAGATACATATCCGTAGTAACATCAAGGGTTACCATTTGCCCTGGAGCAGTGTTGGACGATAGAATATGGACTTTTAGGAGCTTATGTTGTCCTCTATTCGTAGCCGGGGCAGAGGCTTGAGGCGGCGGCTTATCAGCTAGGGGCGTGTCCACCCGGTAGGTTGTAGTAATAATGGGATTCGACCGCGGATGTGCTGTCGCTAGCGGGGAAACTTGTGGTTGGGGCGTACTTTTGGGCGTTGCTTCTTCGTCATTCACGTCTTCTGCTACGTCTTGTTGTTCGTATTGTGGCGTTTGGGTTTGATTCTCCGCGAAACCGGCCTCTGAAGCTTGCACTAGGGCAAATTCATCGTAGGCTTTGGAGGCCGATCGCGATCTCGCCGCTCTATTGTTTGCCGTGGTGAAGGAATTTACAGGCTTCTTACGATCTAATGGTTCGAAATCGTCGTCAACCTCGCCACCTTCTTCGACCATCCGTAAAGTCCACCAATTCACGTTGAGCTTATCGGCAGGAACTGGAGGTTGGAGCTTTTCGGCATGGTACCTCCATAGACTCAGACCAATCAACTCAGCAACGGTCACTGGTCTGAAAGTTCCATCTGCCTCCTGGATATTGCGTCGTATAGGAACTTCAAAAGGTGTCTCTGGATCTTCGGAGAACGGCGCATAGATTCGTATCCTGAGAGGGTCGGGGTCTCCTTGGCCTGACAGGGTTGCAAACGCATCAAAAGGCATAGCTGGCTTCGTCTTTTTCGCATTGAAGGCATCTGAGAGCAGGCTACGAGGTGGGGCCATGCTTAGAGGCCTAATAGTACTCATAGGTCGAGGGGGTGGAAGAGCTTGGAGCACCTGTGGCTGCGATGGCGGCGCCGGCTTCCTGATTGTAGACTGTCGTAGTAGTTGTTTCGGCACGTTACCGACCACCTGTTGGCCGGGAGAGGTACCAACTGCCGGGTTCTCAACCGTATCCAAGATAGAAGTTGAATCAACACTCTCGACAAACGCCGAGGAAGTGTCCGACATATCAGAATTCTCCTCTTCTTCGGCAAGCAGGTCACTTTCATGATGTCTGATGCCTTGGCTGGATTCTGGGGTAGTTCTAGAGTGTGATCTCATTGCCCTCGTTCTTGTAGCTTCCTTGTTTTTGTGATAACCCGAAGCATCAAACTCGTTGTCAGACGAAATCTCGCTACTGGTGACGGTATCCCGCCGCGGCCGTTCCTTGACCGTCTCCAAAGTTGGCTGCGATCCTCGTCGAGGTACCGGGCCAGCACGTGGAGATGACATATTGGTGGCTTGACGTAGATTGGACGATTGGATAGGCGAGGATCCAGCTCGACTTCGGAGGGGCATCTTTGCAAATCTTATCTGCTGTGCAGCCCTCTGATCCGCATCGTCGTCACTCTCGTCGCTCAGGTCACTACTGTCATCTTCCTCCATTTGCTCTCGGCGCCTTTCCCTGCGCCGCTTGAGAGCGCTTCCCGGTCCCAACGTATCCCCGCCACCAGTCAGCATACCCCCCTCTTCGGCCTCATCCTCGAGCGTCAAGCCTGTAGATCTCGGGGCAGCCTGGAAGTATTCAGAGGCGATAGCAGTAGGTATCGGGGGCGAGTGGGTTCGCTTGATATGTGATGGGTTCGATCGCCAGCCAGCGGCTTTAAAAGGAGCAGTGTTAAGGAAACTATCGTTGATCGTAATGAGGCGCTCGCCAACGCCATCAGCAACTTCGCTAAGGTAGCTTGTCCGTAATTGGTATGACACCAAACTAATTGGCAGATTCAATGTTAGCGTATTCATTCATTATTTTATTATGAGGGGCTACAACCTACTCTTCAACTTGTATCAACGACATCCTGAATAGTAGACCAGCTTACTTGACGAGAAGAAACCAATTGTATTCATTCTCGTGAGGTGAGAATCATGCCAGGTTTAAATACCTGGTATGAAGTAAATTTGAGGTGCGTGTCTGCGACACAACTGGCGCAATTATAAGCTGATAGTCTTTGTTATAAGTTTAGGAACGGGAGTTGAGTACATAACTCCTATAGGTGTGTTATCGGGTGGTTATCAGGGGGTTATCAGGGAATCAGGGGGTATTGGCATTGGTATCGCGAAAATGGCTCGTGCACTCTGTTACCTAAGTGTACCTGCCAACACCAACTTTAGCGTCATACACATGCACTAATTAGCTAATGCAAAGTTACACGGCCACCAACAAAACCTTAGGTACTGTGGGATGGGATTACGTAATTACTGGCTATACTGAAAATTAGTGGGCGAAGCCCACTAATCATAAACCCTTCCTAATACAACATCTATTCCAACCCCATAGTACCTAGGTTCCAGTGATACGCAAACAATTCTACTACCTACATGTATACTGGAGGTATAAATATTCATCAATATCATTGTAGCATATACCTAGTATATGTGCTATATATATGCTATGTACCTCTCGTGATATAGGTAAAACACTTTATCCACGCCACACAAACTCGACCACAGAAATAAAGGTCAAAGGATTAGCGTTGACATGAGCCAGCTCAAATCGCTCATCAGCATCGCGGAAAATCTTAGCCCACGCGTCAACAGGACGCTCCCTTGCATTGAAGAGCGCCATTATTCTTAGATCGGAAGCCGTACCCATGTTTTGGATCGAGCGTGCCAAGGCTGGTTCTTCGGTCTCGCCCTGGTTGCCAATATACTCGATGAGGACCAAACGAGCTCCCGGCTTTAAGCCAGGGATCATAGCTCGTAACATCTTGACTGCCTCGTGATCCGGCCAGTCGTGGAGGATCAGCTTGATTATATAGATGTCTGCCTGGACAGGTTGCGGCTGAAAGAAGTCATGCGCTACAAACGATACGCGGTCTTTCAAGTCTTCAGGGACATTGGCCTCGAATACCGTCTGCACTTGCGGCAAGTCCTGCACTGTAATGGTGAGTTCAGGGAATTTTTGTGCTAGCGCGAAAGCATCATGACCAGCAGAGCCCCCGACCTAGTTAATATTAGCCATATTTCTAACTAATTTTATATTTCGTGATATACATAAATATAGTAAGGAATTGTAAGGAATTGTAAGAACTTACATCAACCACTGATGCCTTTCCTACGGCTTTCCAATCATAAGCGTCGAGCACTATCATATTGAAATTAGTGAATGCTAGCCAACTCGCTGGCTACCGAAGGACTTGTGTCTCGACGAGGCTTTTGGGCTTTGACAAAAACCAAATAGTGGATAACAGACTTACAGACTCCTTCAAGATGGAAGATCTCTTTTATATAGGCCATGAATGAGACAAAATCTCTCTGCCGCCAGCCCTTGTTCTCTCCTTCGCCATCGTTCTCAAGCAGATCCCAAGAAGTTTTATGGTTTCCGAGTTTCCCTCCACTGTATAGTAAGGCAAATGATGTCTCGTCCATGTCCTGGGTTAAAGCCGGCTTTCCACGGCTATATTTTCTCAATGCTTCAGGCATGACCATCATCGGTGCACTTGCGACGTCTAGGACTGAGGATACAAGTGCCTTTAATCCAGCATTCCGTGCTAATGCTGCTGACCGAGAAGTGTGACGAATATTCGATGAGGATTTACCAGGATCTGTTTCTTCGAAGAGACGAAGAGTCACAGCATGCCGTAGAACTCGCCGAACGACATCCTCAGGAAGAGAAACGCGCTGGGCAATTTCGGGATACGAGGCGGTGCCGTCGAGGGGGACGGCAGACCAGAAGTCGAAATGGTTCAGGATATTGAGTGCTGAGGCATCGGGTATGCACTATACATGTTAGGATAAAGGGGATTTGAAGGTAACTAGATGATAGGATGAGAATTCTCACGCTATGAACATAATTATAAATACTCTCACTCGGACCCTGTGATAGATACCATAGATCTGATAGAGCATCCGCTAACAATTGGCGAGTTACGAATGCTTCGGGCGACAAGCTACTATAGCTGGTTGGACTATCGGCCGCAAAGGTCGGCTGTTGGATATTATTGTCCTTCAAGTAGCGCGTGAATGTCTCCGAGAGTTCCGTAATCTTTGCCGCAAGGCTGTTTAGTGTTGGTTGCGAATCTGCCATTGTATGGATTGATCACCCGCGCTCTATTCTCACCAAAAGGAAGACGACTAATAAAAACAGGAGCACGGCTGGGGCCTGGAAGCTAGGCGGGCTTTTATATTAACTAAATCCCAACCATGATCATCCAGGCCCTTCGTGATTGTAGGAGGTCCGCAGCCGGAGCTGTAAACTAAAAAAGTTGTCTTGGTATTCGGTCTTGGTATTCGGTCGAAAGCTTCTTCTTTCATAAATTCGTACGAAGGATGAGTGACATGTGAGCCGATTGATTAGATAATGGTAATCTTATCAATCTAATCAATCTCATCAAAGGAGAGACCCGGTAGGTACGTGGAGCACCCCCATTCCAGCCAAGCCACTAGAATTACGTGCAAACGTAAAAAATATGTTGATCTTGAATGGTGAATTCCGGGAAGTGTCGTCGAGATCGTCCACTTATAGTGATTTGAGGTTCCAATTACGTATAATATGTCGCTCATCTCCACTTACTCACCGACCTACCTGCCTAAGGTAGCTAGGTGGACATCTGACGTGACTATACAGATCGATCTGGAAGCTCTCCGAGATGGGCCATGCAGTTCTAGTTTGCTGAATTTGCTCTTGATATTTGCTGTTATAGTACGAGGTATCTAGCCCTTATTGCCCTTGAAACTAAGTTATATACTTATAGTATAAAATTTAAATTATATTCTAACTGAGGTACTACAAAAAATCATTAGCATTGTTTGCCTTGGATGTGGTATAGAACAGATTCCTACGACTGTAAGTGGGAGATAACTTTGGATTCGGTTTAGTGAAACCGCAAACAGGTAGGTATACTGCGGGTAAATTCGTATTCTCGCCAAGCTTTTGACTATAACCGTAAGTAAATTTCTCCAATTCGTAGTTCTTATTCGACTACGGATTATTAGAGGCCTAGCTCATCAGAAATTCAGTTGTGCTGAGAAGAACCTCGTATTCCATAAGTTTTTCTAGCCTATAGTACTTAACTAGTACTGACAAAGAAGAAAAATATTAACAAGGGTAACAGTAGGATATGCGGTTAAGTAGATTTTATTCCATGAAGGGAAAAGGAGCGGAAAATTTGAAGACTCTGAAATAGAGATGAAGTTGAATAAATCTAACTTTGGGTACTTGCATGTACATGTGCCTGATAGAGCTATATATAGGTAAGTGCCTATCGTGTACCTTACTAATACTTAGGTACTTATATAAGCATATGACGCACGGTCCATCTAAACAGCCACACTCCACATTGCATATGCCTTATGACGCCACATTAACCTAAGCTTTCAGATATTAGACATTGGAACTACATCATCATCATTATATTCTACACCTGGCCAACTCTTACTTCATTACGTGAAAATGGGGCTCGTCGACTATTCAGACTCAGACTCCGACTCCGAACCCGTCGCCAAGCCCGCGCCCCCCTCGCAATCGGTAACCGCTCCAGGAGCGAGCGGCAAGAAACCATTCCAGAAAGTAGTCGACCGAGCGAAACCAGGCAAGATCCTCGTCAACCTTCCGCAGAGCTCATCTAGTCGCGACAAGAGCAAACTTGCCGATGGAGATAACGAACCACCCCCGAAACGCACAAGGGTTACAGGCAGAGGAGGCGCGTTCAGCAGCTTCAACTCATTCCTCCCGCCTCCAAAGAACGTCGGGAAGCCTGCGGCGTCGAGTAGTAGCGGGAAGCCCGCGCCAAGGCCTGGTATCAACCTGAAGACGGGTGCTACCCCTGGTTTCAGTAGGGAGATGGACGGGAATGAAGAGGGGGGGTCAGACGAGACATCAAAAAGGGGTGAAGACGCAAATTCTTCGGCAAAGCAGCCATCTATACCCGCGGAACAGAAGCCAGCAGACGAGGTCAAACTAGTCGGCAAACCATTAATGTTCAAGCCGTTATCAGTATCGCGAAAACCAGGCAAGAAGAGCGCGACCAAAGCATCAAAGACCGCTATTACAACATGTACACCGCCAGCTCCTCAGCCAAGCGCGGAATCACAGTCACAGTCACAGTCACAGGCACAGGCACAGGAGAAAGACAAGGTGGAACGACCTCCGAAAAGGCAGAAAATATCACTATTCTCAATATCCGACGATCCAGAGACGGAAGCAGTAGAGACCACCACATCCAGCACCGGCATCTACGAGCCCATGTTCAGCACCCCCACTTCCGCAGCCGACGACTTCGCCGCATACGACGCGCAATTCGCAGCATCCCACAGCGCATTACCACCCCAAGCCACGCCCTCCAGCGCCGACACCCTCGACTCCATAGCCGCAGACATGAACCTGTCCGCCGCGGCGCGACGCGAGCTGTTCGGGCGCGGCGGCGACCCGTCGTCCTCGTCGGGAAGCCGCGTGGTGCGCTTCGACACGGACCGCGAGTACGCGCACAACGAAGCGCTGCGCGCCGCGGGCCAGCTGCAGCCCACGTACAACCCCGTGCGCTCCATCGCCCCCGGGAAGCACAGCCTGCGGCAGCTCGTCACGCAGGTCCAGAGCCAGCGCGACGCGTTGGAGGAGAGCTTTGCGAAGGGGCATGGGAATCGGAAGGAGGCTAGCGCCAAGTACGGCTGGTGATGGGGGTAGGGGTGGGGGTGGTGGTGATGGTGGTGATATATCTCTTGACGTAAAGAAAGGGGGGAAATTATTTATATTGGTTTATGCGTATGGACGTATGTACGTGCATACATCCAGACGGGCGAGATGGAGAGTCAAGCAATGGAGAATGAAAGCGGCTTTGTTTGGACTAATGGCAGAGTACTATGGCATGGCATTGGCGTAAATCGTAAATCGTAAATCGTTGTCCTCCGAGGCATTCATCAAATCAAAAAGTTCATAACTAACCAGAAAGAGAGATATCATGAGTTATTTCTTTATCCATTATCATCCTACCCAGTGAAGTAAGCGCCTGTCCTATCCTATCCTAATTCGAATATACTTACACGACGCCGAGAATCAAACCGTCGGGCGGGTATCTAACCTAGGTAGGTAGCTTATATAAAAGCAGGTATATATATATATATATATATAGGTACCTATATATGCAATCTCTGTCCACAGCATACAGCAACCAAGTAACCTAACCTAGGTATATATGTAACTTAGGTAGTATCTACCCATCCAATCCCTAACAAGTCTCCACCGCCGCCGTCTTCCCCAGCTGCCACCCATCGCCCTTGAACAAAAACCCCCACTCCCCGCGCGTCACCGGCGATATGTCCTCGTACCCGTTCGGCGTCAGCGGCCCCAGCCGCTGCGACTGCTGGCTCTCGCGCAGCGACGACGACGACGACGACGATAGCAGCATCATCGAGTCGATCGAGGCGCTGCTCCAGAACGCTAGGCCCGGTGCTGGGCGGGCCGTGCGGTCTCCCTCGCCGTTGGTTTCCTCTCTGCTTTCGCCATCGTCATCGTCATCGTAGAGAAAGCTGGAGGAGGGTTTGATTTCTGCCTGTTGTGTATCCCCCGCGCCGTGTGGTTTGTCGGCGTCGCGCTTATCTGTGTTTGCTACTACGGGTGCTTTTTGCGCCGCTACCTGAGGCACAAGTTTAGCCGTCGGCTTGAAGATTCGTGTCGTTGTGGCGGTTGCTAGTTGGGTGTTTAGCTTCAGCACGGGTGTTGTCTGTGTTCTGGGCGGTGTCTTGGGCGGAGGCGGTGCGCCGATTTTTATCACGGGTTTTGTCTCCCGCTCCCGCTCCCGTTCCTCGTGGGTCATTTCGAAGGCCCCGGTTCGGTCCGGGCCTCCGTATGCTCGTCTATACATGCTCTCCACATCTTTCAACGCTCGCGAGTTTACCCCGAGCCAGTCGTAGCTCCGGAGGAGATCTGATTTCGATATGGGCCGTCCGCCATTGGCAAGGACAAGGCGCCGTAATGCATCTACCGCATCTTCAAGACGTGTGCTATCTGGTGTCTTTGCAGTGGGTGAGATGGGAGAGTGTAAAGTAGCGGTGCCGTATGTGAAGCGCGCATAGACGGCAAGGGCGGATTTAAAACTATATAGTCTGTCGAGACCAAGTAACGTTAAGCCTTCCGACGAGAATAACACCTCGTTTTGCAGCATACTTCTGCGAACAAGATCTTCGTTTAGGCCGCATGCGGATGCAGTCGCGGCTGGAGGCAACCAGCTGGTACCTATACGAAACCTTCGCTCCGCTTTGAGGATGGTAGTCCGTAATGTCTTCTCGGCTTTAGGGGCGAGTAAGCTGGTGTGGATCAACCGAATGCCAAACTCGTTTGGCCCCTGTGTTAGGGAGGTCGTCGAGGAGGCTGTAAGGACGCTGGATGGCGTTTGGGGTGTCATCGGCGTGCGAGGAAACGGTGTACCAGGTGTTGGGGGCACAACCCAACGACGAGGGCTAACAAGCGGCTCCGTGGGTGGAGGCGGAAATGACGAAGACGACACAGCTGTGCTAGGTAAAGAGTCTGATGTTGTAGATGATACTGTAGACGTCGAGTTTCCTGTGCCCCTTCGGACCAGTTGCCTCAGCCCTATGACAGGCGAAGCAAAGCGTGGAGACATAATCCCCGGCGTAGGCGGAGGCGAAGTAGGCGTGGGACATGGTGGCACCACGCTCGGGAGTTGATATTCCTTCCGAACAACAACCAGGGTAATATGCAAGGCTTTCCTCGCAAGCCTCTTGGACGTATACTCTAATGCTTCTGTTAAGTGAGAAGGTAGGTTGTAGGCATCGAGAATCGAAGGTCCTGCCTCTAAAGGCGAAGAGATACGTTGCTTCGACAGCGACATGACGAGCGATGAAGGGACTCCTCAGTAAGAGGCGGTATAGACAATGTCCTTGGATCTAGAAGGATGACCTGCTAGATATAAGTTTATAACAGGTAAATATATCACGACGCCAACCTAGGGATCTTAAGATGAGATCGAAAATAGGAAATGAGCAAGGCCAGAAAGAAGAGGCCTTGCTACAGAATAAGTGTGGATATAAAAAGAAAGGCGCTTCGAAACATGAAACGGTGAAACGATGAAACGTCGAAACAATAGAAGCAAAGAAGGTCTGTTACGTTACGAAGCGAAGCCGAACCCCACGAAGTATTCGTGAAATCGGAAGAAATGGGGGGGTTAAGGAGGAGCATGATTATTATTATGATGTGTTTTCCCGTCCATCCCTTGCTATAATTCATGATTTCTATACGCATTCGGCGGCCATGAAACTTAAACGTCAGGCTCACCTTGGCCACCGTCTTTGGCTGGTAATGGTAGGTTGGCGGTTAGCGGTTGATGGTTGATCTGCCTCGTTTCAGGAGAGAGGAGAGGGAAAAGAGAAAAGAGATATGTGATTCGTTAATAGACCTAGCTAATCTGTCAGCTAATCTGTCACATGCAGCTACTGTTTAGATGCAGATACAAGTCAGGCGTAGGCAAGGTCCTCTTGTCTCCAAAGAGAAAACAAAGTGTCTACTTGGACGTTACTTAGACGTTATTAGTCCTAGTAGCCCTAGTAGCCCTAGACTTGTCATGCATGGAGGACCGAGAGGTACGTAGGTGTGATAGTGATCAGATGGTGTGTGCTGGGACCTGCAGCTCACAACCACGATATTTCCTCCACTCATCTTAAAGATATGTATCAAAACCTCCAAGTGTTGGCCAACCACATGCCCTGCGGCTTTCTCCCCCGCATCTTGTCTCGGCGGCTACAACAATCAGAATGACCCAAATATAGATGCCGGACTCGGTACCCGACCATTAAAGCCCCTGCTAGATATATCAGCTAGACCTACATTAGTTAGATTCCCAAAGATTCTAGCAAGGGGTTCGATCCAAAAATAGATCCCATGTCTGCCCCATGTCCACCCCATGTCCTGGACGCTAACATCGGTCCATTGTTGACGGGCAGTCGGGTCCAAGGTCTAAGGTCCAAGGTCCAAAGAGAAGCACGCGGTAATAGCTATAGCTATACACCACCAAGGTAGCATTTACCTAGTCTTGCACTTACATATACTTAGGCCTACTTACATCTCCTTCATGAACGTGAACAACCAATCATACCTGAATCATGCATGATCCTTATTACTGCACCTTTAACGGATAGCTGTGATTCCGAGAGAAGAGCTCGAGCCTCTATTATTATTATATCACTTCAACCTGATGGCTAACCATTCGAGTACTTCGTCATGTGTTTGGTCAACCGACGACATATTTTTAGCACCAGTTGTTTCAAACAAGAGAGACTTTTTCTGCATAACTCTGCTTTAACGGCTCAGTGGCTAATTGCAATCAAATCATCATATTGCTCCTTTTTTTTCGCCTTACTGTAACAAACTCACGTAAACTCACGTAACGTGAATAAGCTGGGTATTCCGTGCTGAAAAGTAAGCAAAACAGCAAACCAGCAAACCTACGAACTCTACCCCTCCTGGCTAGGACATCATCCATCGCAACGAAACGCAACGCACCGCACTATCTTGTGACGATTGCCATGTAATAAACCATAACTCGTACAATTAGACGTCCTAATCGTGCATGACTAGAATCGTCTGCCTCTCTTCCTGCTTACTCCAGAAGAATGTCCTTGTGTAAAGCATCATTCTGTCCATCCCTTAAGACGCCTACCACGCCAGTGCTATGCATTGTCTCTAGTTTACCTTTCCGTTTATCCGACCGGCCTGTCATCGCATTTTATATCATCAGCCGTATGTTACAACAACCCGTTCGTCGTAGCTACTTCTAATCGCTGCATTAACTTAAACGGTGGCTAAAGGGAATGTTTCGTAGTAACCCCAGCTTTACTTATACTAGATCACGGTCGATTTGCATGCTGAGATCTGTCAAGTTATCCATCTGTTCCGAAGAGCCGACCGACTGTTCCCAATCTTGGGCTTTGTCAGTCATAGTCCATGGTGGCGGTGGTAGAGTCGCTCCACATACCGGAACCGTCCTCTTCAATTTCGTCGACTGTCAGTCTAACCATCGGTTCCAAAACAACTATTCCAGAGTTAGCACGCAATAGGCCTAGCGGGCGACCTGCCGCCTTCCAGCATAGGAATTCGTACCTTGACGGAGTTCCATATACTGTGCCCTAAGACCATCATCAATCTCCTCGTTGAGACTAAAGTATGGCTCACACTTCTTGAGCACTCGGTCCAAAGGATCTATCGTGTATTTGGCTGCCTGCGCTGCCCGGGAAACGTACGTATCCCGTAGATACTCTAGACATGAGACAGCCAAACGCCTGACCACGGAAATTATTGCCTGCGACCTTTCAAGCCCCCCGCTGACCTCCCCGAATGTAGGTGAGGGTCCGTACCTGAACAGCTTCTCCTGTAGAAAGCTGTCTACATCATCGCTAACTGCATGGTCGATGTATCCGAGAAGTCCCGGAGCCCATTTCGGGATGTTCTCTAAGCTATGTAATCGGATGATGTCGCTTGTCTCACCCGTGTTTCTTGCCGCATTAAAGATATCTCGTTGGAAGTCAAAAAAGGCTCGGCCTTCTGCGTTCTGCAGGCTCCTGCACTGGTTGGATATATAGCCAATTAGGCGATAGACGCTGTCGTATTGAGTACTGTAGCGGCAGTATGTTACAGCAACGCGAAGGAAAGGCGACACAATATGAGAAGTCAAGTCTCCAGTGATATTAAATCGCAATGTCAGGTATACCCTGAAATCCATTGGCGGGGCAAAGCCCATGAGGCGTCTGATAATAGAATCGGTAGCCGCTGGATTCTGGTTGAGAGAGATGAGCTTTTCCGTAAAAACGTTTGCTTGACCTCTAGCCCAATCCCGGTATAGAATATTACACTCTTCGACGGTGAACGGAACCGGTTCATCTTGGAGGCCTAGTGATAATCGACCATGAGCATCCTCCGGGAACCTTCCCGGGCCAGGTACCAGATCTATGACTGCCATAAGCTCATCAATAAGGGCGATAATGTTGTCATAGTTGGGTGGTCTCGCCGACCTTCTTGATACTGTATTGAGCAGCCTAGCATATTGTGAGGGAAGATCAAAAACCTGGTCAACCGCAATCACCATGATAAGTCTGACCAGGAAGTCCCTATCTAGGAATGCCAATGATTCGTAGCGTCCCATTCGGGCGAATTCAAGCATGGTTCCAAAGTATTCCGACCAGGAATTAAGGCGTATGTGGAAGCTGTCCCAAAAGTATAGGAAGATATCTAAGGTCATATCCACTATACTCAAACTCCGGTCCACTGTGCTGGAAAGTATTATATCATCGTCGTCATCGAACGGGCCGTACTCCTCCGGAAAGGCGGGTTTGAGGGTTGAAATGACAAACATGAACATTTTCCCTATATCTTGACGCACGCCGAGATCTGAGTTCCTCTGTAGGAGCATGCGTAACGCTTCCTTGTGTTGGTTGAAATAATCGAAGAACGAGTAACAGCACATAGTACACCGTTGACAGACTTTGATTAAAAGATGTTTAAGCTGGTCGTAATCCGGCAAGTCCTTAGCTCGCGATGCGATTTGGTCTAGATGACCGAGCGCCGTCTGCATCGCTAGGTTTTCTTTTGTGTGTTCCTTTGAGCATGTGGTACCCCACGTATTGATGAGGACTTCGCACACAAAAGGCATGTGAGACGGATCATAGAGGCAATGGCGCTGAACTATTGACCAGTTATCTTCCTTGACTTGAGTCTCGAGGCTCCTAGGAAGATTGCACCGGAAAGGACCGACTTGACCAGATGCCCTTAAAATATCTTGCTCCTTCTGAAGCGAGGTAGAGCGCTGGTAGAATAACATATAAGCACTATATACCTTCTCGTAGGCAGCACCAGCCTCGAATTGTGGGCGGTAGTCTGGTCCTCCAAAGCAAGCGCTTTCCATCTGTGAGGGATCCCACGACGTAACTATTTCGTCGTTGAATTCAACCCAAGATGGCGTGCTACTTGCAGTTGGCCGTTCTCGAATATACGAATAGTAGTGACCGGACTCCGCGGTCCCTGAGTGCACGAGAATCCCTACTAGTTCGAACATGTCTGGCTCGGTACTACCAGAAGGATCACTTAAATGCTCAATAGTATAGGGCTGCATGTTTATCTTGTCTGGAAATGGAAAATAGTCGTTGATCTTGCTTCGTGTTAGAGTCCTCAGGCTAAAGTCAAATCTCTTCAGGTGAAAAATCAAGTTGTCGGGAATATCCTTGAGGCACGCTCTGCTTATATAGTTAGTGGTGTCGGTAATGAATATATACCACGCTAGACTTGCCTTTTGACTGCATCCACATGTTTGTCGCAATCGGAACACTTGTATTTGTTATCTAGAATTGTTAGACCAGTGCACGTTAATTAGGAACGGTAAAAACATACCTCCTTCCATGATCTCGCCGTCTACGTAGGCTTGGAGACTTTCCTCGAGACCCGCTTTGCCTTTGATGTCGCACTGGATCGCAGAGAAGGGCTCGATACGTTCCGAGATATGTTCGCATTCTTTAGACTTCACTTGCTGGACCAACTCACCACCATAAATCGACCTGAGCTTTTTCTTGTCGGCTTCCAAAGGCAGCTGTGCCTCCCATCGATCAAAAAGAAGACTATAAAATTCGTCCACGTCCATTTGGCTGTGTATATCAATAGGCGCCTCGTCGTAAGTCATGATCTGGCTAACACAGCCCGAAGGTTCTACGAAGCGTCGTCGGCTATCCTGGAGAAACGCGAAGAGTGTCTGGGTCTCGTGAAGTAATGAGTGCGGGTTTCGCACTCGCCTCTCAAGTATAAAGCGGCGGAATCCAACGTTCATAAAGAGTTGTGTGAAGAGCGAGTTCAAATAGCAAGTATTCGAAAGGTTTCGTAGCCCGGAATATCCACATGACGATCTAATAGCATTCGACCTTTCAAAAAGCTGCGGGAGGTC